AAGGCGAAAAAGGCGGAGAGAAAAAGAAAGGGGATCAAGCTGACAGACCTTTTAGCGGCTGTCACCGACGAGACGAGGGAGAAAAGCAGCACAACGTACCTACAGGAGATAGGAGAGACAAGAAAAGGAAAAAGAGGATATATCAGACTCAAGGACAGAGCCTTGATAATGGAGAAGGTGGGTTGAGAGAGGGGGGGGGAAGAGGGAGGGAGAAGAGGAGGAGAGGAGAGAAAGAGGAGAGGGAAAATGCGAGAGTAAAGAGAGCAGCCAAGCCGGTCAGCCTTCAGAGAAGACAGAGAGAGAGAGAGAGAAAGAGGAGGGGGCGGGTAAGGAAAGTAAGTAAAGTAAGTAACAAGACTGACTGTGATAAGTTTAGCAGCCGCCGGTGGTTGGTTGGCCGCTGGGTTTTGGCCTGTTTGGGTCTGGCTTTTTGGTCACCTTGTTTCCCAACTTTTCCTTCCTCTCCCCCCAGCGTATCGTAAATGTGGTATTTTTTATTTCCTCTTCCGTACCGTATCCAAGGCTACCTAACACCAACTAAGTCTAACTTCCTACCTTAAAACTAATCTACAAACCAACTACCAAACATCCGATCTGTTTCAAAGCAAGGCTGTCCTTCTTTCATAAGCTGATACCCGGCGGCTGGCCAAGTAGGAGGCTATAACTGGGGTCCTACAAGGCAAGGATAACGCCAGTCATTTCGGGAAGAATTGCAGATACTAGGAATGAAGACAAGGCTCTCCCAAGCAGGGTGGAAATTGCAATTCATCCTGGGGGTGGCTGAAGTAGGAGTCGGTGAAGCAATCCAGCAGTTTACGCCTGGGCAACTTCAATACTCCCTACGTACTTAATTCTCACCACACAAAACATTTTGCATTTAACTATAGCTCTGGTATCTCTTGAGGCTACCCTATTGTGTGCGTAGGTCTCTGATGCTTTTCTTAGTAACTACTGAATAAGGTTAACTAGTCAACGAAGTTGACAGCCCAGCAGGATTGGACTAGGTCATGATGCATCCGGGTTGTACCTATCACGGCTGGTTGCCTAAGGCAGATAGGACTGGTACCTCGTATGCAACCATTTCATACATCCAGATGCCTCGCTTCCAATGCAACAAAACGAAAAGAGATGAGGCAAACGATCCGCTTTGATCCAAAGACATTCTAGAAGTACCCAAAAAGCATGTTAGGCGGCGAAAAAAAAAAAGTCTGGCGATAGTGGCAAGAATATGGGTAATCACGAAATGAAAATAACCTAAACCCAAAAGCAAATGTTCCATACTATCCCCCCCCAATAGCTACCTAGTTAGTTTTTTTACGCGGTTTGTGGCGGATGATTATTTCCCTCACGCTACTTTCTTTTCCCTCTTACCCGCGGTGACCCCAAAGCACCTCACCTCAAATCGATGATGAGATGATGCTTAGTACTACACCTTTCCCCCCTCCCCCCATTAACCAGAGGCTTATTCCCCAGGCGAATGAACACCATCCGTGTAGACCCCATTATTCTTCCCTGTACCACACCATTCGCCTCCTTAAAACCCGATCGTCGTTAAGGCAAGGAGAAAATTCCTCTCACCTCATCTCATCAATTTACCCTGATTCTTTCTACCTTGGAGTAGTAGTACTTCTACCCTCGGAATGGAACGTCTCCCTTTCCTAGTATGGCCGATTGATCCCGGGCGGTGAACAGGTGACCCCGGATACCGCATTTGCAACTCCTCGTGAAGGTAAATTAAATACGGTGGGCTTACGGGGGTGGCCCTCAATTAGTTTGGTATTAGTTAATTGGGGGGAAGTCTTTTTTTGGGGCCCAAACACACGCGCCTTATCGGACCATCGATCAGTGCCTGAGACATGATGGATCGGAGAATACCTAACACGTCCCTTTTTCCCTCTTTCTTCTCTACTACTAGTAAACTTCCCCCCTCTCCACTTCTGGGGTGTGTGTGTGTTCCCACAACAACACCTACTGGGCCAGATCAACGTGCAGCTCAAGTAAGTAGTACCACGTCGATTCAAGATGGAACACCTGTATAGTATAGCATTGGCGATCAAGAAAACATCATTGGCATCACCTGATCCCCTTCCAAGATGATGACGAAGGTGGTCAGGTAGTCACTAACGAATTGAGTAATTGAGCAACTGTAATAATCAGGAGTTGATCTGAGGGTAAATCCCGCAAATAATCATCCCTGGTCTCACCGCTAACGATGATCCCAATTCAATCACCACCACATAGATAGTAAGTAACAATAATACATTCATCAGAACCACGAAAAAGAGAAAAATAACCCCGTGTGTTCTTCTTCTCATGCACACAAAAAGGGAATTTACCAGTCAATTTCAGGTCTGCACAGGCCAATTGTTGCCAAGAGTTCGAAGCTATCGACTGCGGGGTGTTTTGTAGTAGTCTTTCAGGTAAAGGAAACGTTGGCGTTTGCAGGTTGGCAGATTGAATCGCTCCGTTCATCCACGTATGCATTTACTACTACCAGATACAAGGTCACTGCAGACTGCATCGACCCTTTCTGCACCGTCGGGTTTTACCCCCTCGAGCTATGGTTGTAGTGCTGTCTGGAGTAATTGTTTCTAGCCTCACCTCTCCAACCCCCAAACAAACAACCAGATATGGAGTGCTTTGATTGGGGCCACACATCCCATTCTTCTCTCGCTCTTTTTCTCCGATTCTTATACAACAAGCATAGTGCTATCATGTCGCCCTTGCCTTAACGCATGATTACCCAGGGCAACGTCGCTTGGATCTACACCACGCAAGCGGTGCAGCTGTATGCATCGTGTTCAGATTAGCCAGCACACATTGGGTTGTTTACTACGGAGTAGCTGATATACCCAATGGTTTTGATGAAGAAAGTAAGATTGTCTCCTCATCTTGCGGGTTATGCTCATTGGCTTTCAAGAGCCATTGTCTGGCAAATGTGTTCAAGATACAACCAGGCCATAGCTCACGTTGATCGTCTAGCAAACATGCCTTGTAAGGTATCAGTGGACTTCAATCTGTCGGGTCCTTGTTAGGTTAGTACCGCAGCATGGGTGAGGATTCACTCCGGATAGCGCAAATTACAGAACCCGTGGCAATGCACATGCAGTCCTACGTAGCCCTAAGCAAACAGAGTACCCAGGGGGGTCAACCAATAGTAGTCTGAGCCCGAGAACAAGGAAACCCATTCAAATTTGAGAACAACTCTGGTAGCAGTAGGTATAATGGTTCACTCCTAAATCTCCAATGACTCCAGGAAAGACTCAATGGGGTCCTCCACTTCACGAAACAGTAGCAGATCGCAGCATATGTTCCATGAAGCTTGTGAAAAGCGGTATATACTCCGAAAACAAACCCTGACGCCCGTGCACCGAAATAAAGCGACCAAGAAGCAAGACATTGCATCGTTGAATCCATGCTAACAGGCGAATTCACAACAAGTCATCGTTGCCAGCAGCTGCACTTTCTTCAATGGCCTGAAGGACCTGGCTTTCCCGAAAGGCAGGCCCCTGCCCATCGCACTGAGCAGTACCTTGCAACCGACCCGAGACATCGCCAATATTCACTAGGCCACGCTTGAAGAGTTCATGATTCTGGATGAGATCCCAGGTGGCTCCCGAGTCAAGCAGTTTCTCACCCGTCTTTCCGCATATGGTGATGCGATGAGCGGGGCCATTACCCCCAACTGCATCGGATTTGAAATCCGTGGGCGAGTATTGCAAAGGCCCTGTCGTTGTCGGTTCCTCATCGGTGGGGCGCTGGCCTGACTGGCGCATTGAAGTTGACGTTGCCCGAAGTATCTCATTTTCAGTCGTAAACTTTGCCAGCTCTCTCTTCAGTCGCTCATTGTCCGCCACAAGAGTGTTTGATGCATTTTCAAGGCTGTTAACTTTCTCTTCCAGTTCACGCACATGGCGCTCTTTGCGTTCACGAAATGCGCGCTGACTGAATTCAGTAATCAGAGATTAGTTTTATGGCATATAACACAGTCCTCGATCTGAAACCACTCACGCAGCTCTGTTCTGGGCCTTTCGCTTCGATTGCGCCGGGGTCAGACTCTCTTTCTCCTCGCTGCTGCTCCGACCGAGACTCTGGTCTAAGAGCTGATCGTCTCCATCGTAAGAGGCTCGATCAACGTTCTGGCTAGCAAATTCATTGCTGGTGACCGACTGCTTGGTGAGGGACTCGGGAGGCGAGTGTGGCGGGGCAACGAAGGCAGCGGCTGCGTGAGGATCCTGAAAGCGCAAGTTCGGATCGAAAGACTGGTAGTTTTGCGCTCCCTTTCCACAAGTCAGCGTCGTGAGAAGTTTATATGACTTAGTATCCACAAAGACAAGAGGGACCGACCAAAGGAGCGAAAGCGCCCTGGATGGCCTCGGCTTGAGGGGCCGAATTGCCTTGGTCGGGAGTGGGCAGCCCGTGGACGCCGTAGAGAGGATAAGGTTGCTGGTGATGGTTTGAATAGAACGAATAATCCATCTCGCCTCGTCCTGGAGAAGGAAAGATACGATATATGCTGTTCTTGTGGATTGATGAGGAGGTATGAACCCCAAGAGTAGGGAGGGAGAGAGTCAGCCGGGCCTAGAATTGGATTCACGGCAGCGATGGACTCGGGATGGAACCGCGCAGTGACAAACCCGCCCGGTGGCAGCCCCAAGCCAATTATAGCCAGACTTGGAGCCGCCGAGGGATATCACGCTCCCGGCTGTCATTGGAGATGGATTGCAGCGATCGACCGAATATTGATTCTCAGGCAACTGAAGTCATATGCAAGCCATCTGTTATATTGCTCTAGATGTCTCTCTCTATGGAAAGAATTTGGTTATTTTTGTAAATGACAAAATCAAGCACATGGCTATTTGCAGTCACGGAGACCCACTTTGGCGGACGCTTACTACTACTTACTACTTACTTGGGCCTGTACTGAGATAGAACCTAGAGGGATTGTTAAGGTACAAGAAAGTATAAAATGCTAACACATTCGTGTTCAAAGTTTGTTTGGCTGGCTGGCTGGCTGCCTACCTACTATGTAATAGGTATTTAGTTAATGGACCGAAAGCTGGAAACCCTGGTGGTACGGAGCTCTACATGTCAAACAAAGATGTAGAATATTGGTTTAGCCAGCATGACCAATTCTCTGCCAGGTTATCAAGCTGGAATCCATAGTGTGATCTATGTGATGCATGGCGGAATTTCCGTGCATATGTCGGCAAAGATACGATTCGATGCCCATCTGGTTCAAAGGGTCATTGGAACCCAGTCACGGAGAGAGAGGACCGCGACCGTCCAGATTTTGAGATTCATAGTTACCGATTATACCTCCTTAATCCCAGTCATCGTCGTCATCTTCCACTGTGGGCCTCGAGGACTTCAGCTTGGATGGGCGTTCATCTTCCGAAGAGTCCGACCTTTTCTTCAGACGGACATCGCTTTCTTTGACGGCACCTAATTCCAAGAGCATCTTCTCCAGATCTACGAGGCTCGTATTAGATAGAAACAAAGAAGCAGATATGAAGAACAGTCCTTACCTTCAACAGTAGTCCTTGGCCCCTTCATCTCCCGCAAGGTTATGAGCTGTTTCATGATCTCGCCATTTCTGTACACCAAGATAGTGGGGGTGTTTCTTTCCGGATAACCTTCGATGCACATGTTGCCTCGAATCTCACAAAACTTTATGTCACCAAACTTTGCCGCTAATTGCCGCCATAATTCGGTCAACCGTTGCGATTCGACATTGGCGCCTGAAGAGCTCAGATGAACGAGCACAAAGCATTTGTTCGAGGCTTCGGTCACCTCGCGCGCGTAATCGACTTTTTGTAGGGGGTATACTTGGTTATGAATACTAGTTTGCTGGAGTGTAGACAATTCCGCGAATCGTTTTTGACTGGTACAGATCGTTAGTGAAGCCGAACTTCTTGGTACCTGTGTCAGGGGCATGCTAGCGATCATCTCAGTACCGGTATTGTTCGAGGAAATCCTCATCTTCTTCATCTTCCAGTGCATCCAACTCGTCCAAATCCTTATCTTCTAACCTGTTTTCATATGCCTTGCGCTCTGCCTCGACAAGGGCTTCTTGAATGAGAGGTTCGGGATCTTGGGGCTTCTCGGGGATAACGCCATGTTTGCGGAGGATGTCATTCCTGCGGGGTGTAAGCTTGTATGGCTAACGGTGGTGGACGATGTCGATGATCTGACCATTCGGTATCCTCGTTAGGGTTGACTTCGACTTGCATGACTGCGGCGGGACTTAGGATGTTTTATGAGCTCTTATGATTTTATAGATCTACCAAATGGTATGGTAAGAGTCAGGGAGGAAGACAGCAGCCTACACACTCTACGGACCCTCTGCGGCGAGACATGCCGCGTGTTTGCTCCGTTTGCAGGATCAGCCACACCGCCCTGTGGCTCAGCCGCCCACAGACGCGGAAGGCCACCTGGAGATTGTTGGAGGCCGTCGGGAGAGCTGCTGTTGCTGCTGCCCTGGCCAAAACACCCATCCTCTACTATCTCCATTGGTCTGTCGTTCTCTCTTTCGGCTTCTTTTCCGGGGACTGGGCAAGTGTCTCTATATCTTCACTGGCCACCCCCCTTTTTTTCCATCAATCTTGTCTTTGAAAGATAATGAGGGCGCCATAGTCGTGTACATACACCGCCTGCACTACGACTAACCCATCATACTGACCCGCCCTTATTCGTCTCCCATTGAACAATCCCCCGACGTCACCCGTACGGGGCCCATTTTCAACCTAGAGAGAGCCATTAAACAACTGTGCTGCTGCGGCAATCACTGCAGCCCGTCACAATGTCTTATATGAAGAAAGATGAGGACGCTGATCAGTCCATGATCAAGCTGGATCGGACCTCCGTGTTTCAAGATGGTAAGGGTCTATCAGTTTCGCTCTTCTCTGGAGTCGCATCAAGTCCCTGAACGTGATTGCTGACTTTCTTCTCTTGCTCTTCTATAGCGCGACTGTTCAATTCCTCTCCCATATCTCCTCGAACATGCCGTACTCTCCTGACCAAGATCGCCGTCCTCCTTTTTACCGGGGAGCAGTTCCCCACGAACGAGGCCACCACATTGTTCTTCGGCATTTCCAAGCTATTCCAGAACAAGGACCCTTCTCTGCGACAAATGGTCTACCTGATCTTGAAGGAACTTGCAAACACGGCGGAGGATGTGATCATGTCAACCAGCATTATCATGAAGGACACTGCTGTCGGCAGCGACGTTCTGTATCGGGCAAATGCCATCCGTGCCTTGTGCCGCATCATTGACGTAAGCGCATTGGGAATCCCTACTCTCTTGTCAAACGAGATATCTGATAATGGTCGTCCATGCAGGCTACTACTGTGCAAGGTATCGAGAGATTAATCAAGACCGCTATCGTCGACAAGACCCCTTCGGTATCCTCCGCAGCGCTGGTCTCCTCCTATCACCTTCTTCCGATCGCGCGCGATGTGGTCCGTAGATGGCAGAGTGAGACGCAAGAGGCTGCTTCGGGCGGGAAGCAATCGACTGGATTCCTTGGGTTTGGTGGCAGCTCTCAGGCTCACGCCATCTCGCAATCGAACTTCATGACTCAATACCACGCCATTGGTCTCCTTTACCAGATGCGCTCGCATGACCGTATGGCTCTGGTGAAGATGGTTCAGCAGTATGGTGCGGCTGGAGTGGTCAAGAGCCCCGCGGCTCTTGTCCTTCTGGTGCGGTTGGCGGCTAAGCTGGCGGAAGAAGACCAGGGCTTGAGAAAGCCTATGATGCAGATGCTTGATGGCTGGCTCCGACACAAGCATGAGATGGTCAACTTCGAAGCGGCAAAGGCCATCTGCGATATGAGGGATGTCTCGGACGCGGAAGCCTCCCAGGCCGTCCATGTCTTGCAGCTGTTCCTTTCCTCGCCCCGCTCTATCACCAAGTTTGCTGCAATCCGCATCCTTCATAACTTCGCAAGCTTCAAGCCTCACGTGGTGAACGTCTGCAACCCCGATATCGAAGCCCTTATCTCCAACTCCAACCGTTCCATCGCCACATTTGCCATCACGACTCTTCTGAAGACCGGTAACGAGGCCAGCGTCGATCGCCTGATGAAGCAGATTTCCGGCTTCATGGCAGACATCACGGACGAATTCAAGATCACGATTGTGGAAGCCATTCGCACCTTGTGCCTCAAGTTCCCTAGCAAGCAGGCCGGCATGCTTTCGTTCCTAAGCGGCATTCTGAGAGATGAGGGTGGCTACGAGTTCAAGCGCAGTGTGGTTGAGAGCATGTTCGACCTCATCAAGTTTGTCCCCGAAAGCCAGGAGGATGGTAAGCTCTCCCCTGGAAGCTCTGGGTCTTTTTTCGTGCTAACTAACAGAACTAGCGCTCGCCCATCTGTGTGAATTCATCGAGGACTGCGAGTTCACCAAGTTGTCCGTCAGGATATTGCACTTGCTTGGTGTGGAGGGACCTAAGACGTCACACCCTACCAAGTTTATTCGCTACATCTACAACCGTGTCGTTTTGGAGAATGCCATTGTGCGAGCTGCCGCCGTGACCGCTTTGGCCAAGTTCGGTGTCGGACAGAAGGATCCTGAAGTCAAGTCCAGTGTTTCGGTCCTTCTCACCCGATGCCTGGATGACGTCGATGACGAAGTGCGTGACCGTGCTGCCCTCAATCTGCGGTTGATGAGCGAAGAGGATGAGACTGCTAGCCGCTTTATCAGCAACGGTAAGCTTTCTGCGAACTAGGCATGTTTATACTTTGCTAACGACATCAGAATCCATGTATTCGCTTTCGACATTCGAGCACCAGCTCGTGATGTATGTTACATCAACAGACAAGGCGACGTTCGATGCTGCATTCGACGTTGCCACGATCCCGGTTGTTTCACAGGAGCAGGCATTGGCTGAGGAGCGGACCAAGAAGCTCACAAGCGCGACGCCCACTCTCAAGGCACCTTCGACTGGCCCGCCCAAGGGCAAGGCCAACGGTGTGGCCGAGGCCGTCACGGTCGCTGCCACTCAGAAATACGCCGAACAGCTTATGCAGATTCCAGAGCTCAAGGAGTACGGCACTTTGCTCAAGTCCTCTGCGCCTGTTGAACTTACTGAGAGCGAGACGGAGTATGTGGTTACGGCTGTTAAGCACATCTTCAAGGAGCACGTTGTGCTGCAGTACGACATCAAGAACACTCTGCCGGACACTGTTCTGGAAGACGTGACAGTAGTTGCGACGCCGTCGGAGGAAGATGTTTTGGAGGAGGAATTCATCGTTCCTGCTCCTAAGCTGGCCACAAATGAGCCCGGTATTGTTTACGTCACTTTCAGGAAACTTGCTGGCGAGCACAGCGTTCCTGTTATCTCCTTTACGAACAACCTCAAGTTCACCAGTAAAGAGATCGACCGCACTACCGGCGAGCCTGAGGACAGCGGCTATGATGACGAGTACCAGGTTGAGGACCTTGATCTCACGGGCAGTGAGTACGTTATCCCAACCTTTGCTGGCAGCTTCGACCACGTGTGGGAACAGACGGGTGCCAACGGTGAGGAGGTCAGCGAGACTCTTCAGCTCAGCAACATGAAGGGCATCTCAGGTAGGCCAACCTTTCTCCACATCCGGCCTAGATCTTCGAAAACTAATCTCATTACAGATGCCACCGAGCAACTAATCTCTACGCTCTCCCTGCAGCCCCTCGAGGGCACGGATGTGGCCCTCAGCAACAGCACGCATACACTGAAACTGTTCGGAAAGACAGTGACAGGCGGCCGGGTTGCATCCCTTATCAAGATGGCCTTCTCCAGCAAGACTGGAGTGACCATGAAGATTGTCGTCCGGGCGGAGGAAGAAGGAGTTGCGCCTGCTGTGATTGCGTCCGTTTCCTGAGCTTCATGGACCCCTGTAAATGTGTAAAGGAGGCATGTTCGCGAGGCGCATGAGCCCTGCATTATGAGATCAGATATTTCTTGTTTCCCCCCTGCTTCATTTTCATTTCCCTTTTTATTCTTTTTTTCTCTTCATCTATAATTCTGGTGCCGAGTTAGATGCGATGAATATCTTGCGTAGGCGTCAAACTACCCTATTCATTCGAATTACCTATTTCTCTTCATTTCCATATCTGACTTGTTTGTGTTCCAGCTGACTCTATCTTTCAACATTTTACTTCTTTCCCCCCATTTTTCTCTGCCGATGTTTGTCCCCTCCCCTTGACATTTCTTCGAACATGTTAGCATGTCCTCGCCCCCCTTGCTTTGTCTTCGTGTCATTCCCCGTTTCGCTTGTCCGGGTGGCCGGTGGAACGGGGAAGTGGCTGGAGTCGTTCTGTAGTCAAAAGCGTCATCATACTATATCTATCTACCATTTTGTTTAGAGGTTCTCTGCGTCCGCTTCGTGTTTTGTAGAAGCTTTCTATATTAATATTACTAGTAGTAGATAGCCAAGCATTGGACGAGGCAATGTCGTGCGGAAATACATTCGGTCTATCATATTGAATCTTCAACAAGCAAAATATATAAACAAACTCTAGCCGAAAAACATCTGATGGAATGTAAACAAAAAGGTATATAGAAAGGAAACGCCGACCATCATATATAATAAACGCCAATCGTGTCATCATCATCAGTGTAATCGCTCTTCTCTACCCCATTCTTGAAAGAAGATTTGGAATTTCTTCGCTCCTTCTTTGAGAACCGGCTATGAATGAAGTCATCGATCTCCGTGTCTTCCAGGATTCGCTGGTTGGTGCAGAATAGCTCAGAGAAGCCCACCGATCGGAGGTTCGCTAGGCCGTATTCCATGGCTGTGATTAACGAGCTTGTGCTGAAGGTTATGTTGGCGTCTAGACTTGGGAATCCGAATTCGAGATCCTCGAGCGGTAGTGGGGGGTGCATGTGACTGAGGATATCGAAGAAGGAATCATTGACTAAGTCGCCAGGGATGCTGAGGGATGCTAGTTCAGGGAGGAAGACTGGAATGGCGTTGATGGATTCGGGTTGCAGGTTACGGTTTGAAGCGGAGACGATGAAACGTTTCAGGTTGGCTAGTTGGGGGTTGCTCATTAGGCTGCCGAGGCTGGACATGGAGAGATCGGCGCAGTTCTTGAGGGTTAGGGTAGTCATTGTGCGAGGCCAAGGAAAAGAGGACATTGGTATGGAACGGTAGTGGCCGCTGAATTGTAGGCGCTGGAGGTTAGGAGGCCATTCTATTGTGGCTGCAGCGTCGTCGTAGGTGGCGATGGAGGTTGAGCGCGGAAGGCGAAGGGTAATTAGTCTGCGGAGTTTGCTGATCGCTTTCTTGAGGTCGGGAAAAGGAATTGGATCGCCCACTAGCGATAAGTCGAGATGTCTGATGTTTGTACATTTGGAGAGAGCCGGCAGGCTGTTGATGCTGTTCACTAGTATCAGGATCAAGTTTCTAGAGTGGGCGGAATGCATGCATAACGAGCATATAGATCAGACTTACGCAAAGGAAATTCTTGGAGCCAGGAAGATTTCCAGATTCTCCTTCACCCTTCCCAGCAGTCGTGCGGTCAAACTGTTGGAACTATGATATACGAGGCCACTTAGGTCCAATTTGTGAACTAGACTGCCCAATTGTATCTTGTTCTTTCGTGCGCCGATTGTCGGACAAATAGTGTCGGTGAAATTCTTGAAAGCCGTCCCAGCGCTCACGCGCGGCTTCTCATAGAGATATGGGATGGCTACGGAATACCATTGGCGAGAGACAAGGCAGCAGGCGTGGAGAGTGGCCTGGCGATGGCCATCATCTGCGGCGGCGTAGGTGATAATCTCCACCACAATTTCTGTGGGGAGATAAATCTGGCGTGAGGGCATCAAAGGCATTATGGGCAGTCATGGAATGCATCAATGCCCATGGCAGGTCGAAATCAAGAGTCCGCAGACATGGGTGGGGGAGATATGTAGCTGCCCGGGGCGACAGATATATCTAGTGTCAGTCATGCAAGTTGTGTGGTGGGGAAGCAAAAAAGTAAGTCGGATGGCGATCAAGAAAATGTGAGGGGAAAAGAAAATGGCGGAGAAGCGAGATGATATCATTCCGCCGATTGCCAGCTGCATCTCCGCCTTCCGCACGTCTCTCCTCCGGCCTGTTCTTCTGCAGCTCCCTGTCATCCGGACGACTCCCATCCGCTCAATTGTATTCGTTCACCGCTGTTGCTTGTGATTGTTATTTCTCATACTTATTAGACATCTACTATTATACTATTAACACTTCGAGTATGCGATCGCAGTCTCTTTGGCGCTCCCTTGCGCTGTTGCAGAGTACTTCCACCCGCTCCTTGGTAAACACTGGTCTGGGCCGACGTGCCTTTCAGACTGCCAATTCCCGGTGCCCCGACTTCGCCTTTGCATTTGAGTGAGTAAGCAATTTCTATCCACGCTGGTGTAGCAGATAATCTGACTGGTATTTAGCATCGATGGCGTGCTGCTACGATCCTCTAAACCTATCCCCGGAGCCGCTGAGTCGCTAGCCCTTCTCAAAGAACAGAACATCCCGTTTCTCCTCTTGACAAATGGTGGTGGAAAACATGAAACTGAGCGAGTGGCGGAAATAAGCGAGAAGCTCCAGGTCCCATTGGAGCCGGAGGTAATCGTTCAAAGCCATTCGCCTTTTGCGGAGCTTGTGCGCGGACCAGACGAGCAGAGTGCCCTAGAGAACAAATGCGTGCTGGTAGTTGGAGGAGAAGGTGATCGTTGTCGCCAGGTAGCGCAGATGTATGCAGGCCTATGTTTGTCCCCGACATTTCGTGGATGATCGTCTTAACAATGGATGCAGGTACGGCTTCAAGAACGTGGTGACACCGGGTGACATCTACATGGCGAACCCATCCATTTGGCCTTTTAGATCTTTCCAGAGCTATTACGAGAAGATTTCTAAGCCATTGCCAAACCCAAAGGATCCCAATGACCCCTCGAGAGGGTTGAAGATTGACGCCATCTTTGTCTTCAATGACCCGCGGGACTGGGCTCTAGACGCTCAGATCATCACCGACGTCCTACTATCGTCTGAGGGCGTGATAGGCACCATCTCCGAAAAGAACGGTCGGTCTGATCTCCCTAATCGGGGGTTCCAACAGGATGGGCAGCCGCATCTGTACTTTTCGAACCCAGACCTCTGGTGGGCTGCAGCCTACCACCTTCCTCGCCTTGGCCAGGGAGGATTCCGCGAGGCATTGGAAGGCATCTGGGCTGCGGTGACTGGAGGCCCAAGCAAAGGCGTCGAGTTGAAGAAGACCATCATTGGCAAGCCTTACCAGGGGACGTACGAGTTCGCGGAGCATCAGCTCTTGCGCAACCGTGCTAGAGTATTCGGCTCGGACGCTCAGCAGCCTTTGCGGAATGTGTATATGATCGGAGACAACCCAGAGTCAGATATCCGTGGCGCGAACAGCTACCGGAGTGAACATGGCAGCAAGTGGCACTCGATCCTTGTGCGAACCGGTGTCTACAATGGTGGTGAGCCAGCGTGGACTCCGACGACGATCGCTGATAACGTGCACAAGGCAGTTGAGTGGGCATTGAAGAACTCACAGTGGCGGTCTTAGAGGTAACGGTGTAGACTTGTATTTGTCTTCCTTTTTTGAGCGAGTATTTGATAAGTAGACTGCGACTGCACCTGCGAGCATAGTGAATAGACCATCACAATTGTATATAGTACAGCCAATATTATGCAGCGCATTATTATATAATCATTTGGCATGGCAGCATCCGCATCAGGTGATGGACAGCCCCTCCTAGGGCTTAGGGCTGTGGGCCTCGGACGGCGGGGTGACTCAAAAGAGAAAGTTGGAGCTCCATTCAGGCCGACGGACTGGTTCCTGATCGCCTTGCTGCTCCCTCCTTCCCTCCATCAACACCCTATCCACACCTTTCACCATGGCGGACTCCGAATTGCCCACTCGCCCCAAGCCCGAAGAAACCCCCGCCGCTGCGGCCGCCCCCGCCGAGGGTGCCGAGGCCAGCAAGAGCGCCAGCAAGAACGCCGCGAAGAAGGCCGCAAAGGAGAAGGCCAAGGCTGAGAAGGCTGCTGCTCGTGCTGCCCAGGAGAAGGCTCAAGCTGCTGCCGCCGCTGCCGACGACACCGCCAAGGACCTGTATGGCAAGCTCCCCGAGTCCGAAGATGTCATCGCCGCGACGAGATTCTCCGACATCTCCGACGAGCACTACGAGAAGGAGGTTACTCTGGTGGCTCGCGTCGACAATGCCCGTGTGCAGAGTGCCAAGCTGGCTTTCCTGATGCTGAGACAGCAGGGTCAGAAGCTGCAGGCCGTCATTGCTCTTGCGGAGCCCATCTCCCGTCAGATGATCAAGTACACTGGTGGATTGAACGTCAACTCCATTGTCCAGGTCACCGGTATCATCAAGAAGCCTGCCGTGCCCATCTCGTCGGCTACCCTTAGCAACCACGAAATCCACATCCGCAAGGTCTACATGATCTCCGAGGCGGCCCAGATGCTCCCTATGCAGGTCAAGGATGCCGAGAGACCGCCCCCGGAGACCAGCGAGGAGGGATTCGAGGTTGGTGAGGATGGTGCTCCTATTGTCACTCTCAAGACCCGTCTCGACAACCGGGTCCTCGATCTCCAGACCGAAACCAGCCAGGCTATCACCTGGATCTCCAGCGGCGTCGCCGAACTGTTCGCCGAATACATGATCAAGAGCGGTTCGCGGTGGATCTTCACCCCCAAGCTGGTGGGTGCGGCTACCGAGGGTGGTAGCAACGTCTTTGAGGTCAAGTACTTCAAGAAGAACGCCTACCTGGCCCAGAGTCCCCAGCTGTACAAGCAGATGTGCATTGCTGGTGACATGGAGAGCGTTTTCGAAATTGCTCCCGTCTTCCGTGCCGAAGACAGCAACACCCACAGACACTTGACAGAGGTAGGCCCATATGATCACAAGCATCAGCTTGCGTACGTATACTGACTTCGCCAGTTCGCTGGTCTCGATTTCGAGAAGACTTTCCGCGGCCACTACCACGAGGTTCTGGAGTTCGCCGAGAACCTCCTCGTCTTCATCCTCTCCCAGCTCAAGGAGCGCTACGCCGACAAAATCGCCATCATCCAGAAGTCTTACCCAAAGGCCGGTGACTTCAAGCTCCCCAAGGATGGCAAGGCTCTCCGCCTGAACTACATGGACGGTGTTGCTCTGCTGAAGGAGGCCGGTGTCGATGTTTCCGAGCAGGAGCGCTTCGAGAACGACTTCACCACCGCGATGGAGAAGCAGCTGGGACAGATCATCCGTGACAAGTACGACACCGACTTCTACGTGCTCGACAAGTTCCCGATGGCCGTCCGTCCTTTCTACACCAAGGCCTGCCCGGAGGACCCCCGCTTCTCCAACTCGTATGACTTCTTCATGCGTGGTGAGGAGATCATGTCTGGTGCCCAGCGTATCCACGACATCAAGGAGCTGGAGGAGTCGATGGTCGCCAAGGGCCTCAACCCCAACCAGGAGGGCTTCGAGGACTACCTGTCTGCTTTCCGCCAGGGCTGTCCTCCCCACGCCGGTGGTGGTCTGGGTCTGAACCGTATTGTCATGTTCTTCCTGGGTCTGCCTAACGTTCGTCTGGCGTCCCTGTTCCCCCGTGACCCCCAGCGTCTCCGCCCTTAAGCGGGTGGCTAGAGCTGTGATAGATTACAAGACCTGTATCTGGATACAAAAGAATATAATGGAGCGACGAATTGAATGTTTAGCGTTTTAAGGTCTATGCCAACCAGTCAGCGTAGCTCATCGTAATATTGGATACGAGCAGCATGACATGGAAGCTATGTCACTAGCGAGCTATCCTATGATAGATGCGGTATAGGAAGTACATGCTCGTTTGTGAGATGGTTTATGACGTTCAGTCCCATTCTATACCAGATCTTAGTGACAGCTTCATATAAATAACAGTAGTCTCGAATATAACCACTAAAATCACTATCTCGCAGTATAGTAATTATCAGAGTATCAACTCAGTGCATTGATACGGAGCTCAAATTAACGGTGCTGTCATAGTGGCTCCCCTATAGTCCGTAGTAAGTAAAAAGTGGCCCAAGCTCCCGGGGGGAAACATTGGATCGCCGGCATTTTCTCCGCCCTGAACTTTTGCTCCCCCCAACTCCATCCATCCCAACAACCAAACCAGACCATGACCAACATGCCCGACAAACGCAAACCGTCCGGCTCAGTCACCGGCTACTCTCCCTACGCGAAACGTTCCCGCCCGTCCTACGCCGAAGAAGATGACGAAGAAGAAGCACAGCCGACCGTGACTCCATACGAACGCCCGCGCAACCACCCAGTATACGGCCAAAAGAGCGCTTTTCCGGGTCTAGACGTCGCGGGTGATGATGAGTTGTTCTACGGGCCTGCTGAAGATGGCTTGGAATATTTGCGCATGGTTCGGTAAGCTTGACTCTCCTTTCTTGATGCTTTCCTTTGTTTGTATCTTCTTCTGTTTCGGCTCTTTTCGCTTCCCGCTTGCTAAATGCCTGCGTGTTTCGGACTTTAGCTCGCGAAAGATGGCCTCCTTCGGCATTTCTTGAATTCGGCGATGTGATGTGACGTGGCTCATTTTTTGATTCTGGTTTGTTGTAGATCGGAAGCAAATTCACTCCCTTTTTTGTTTACGGCACCGCAATCGACGGAAACGCCTGTCGCGACGGAGCAGGGACAGGAGCAGGAGCAAAATGGGGAGGAACCGCAACAACAGCATGAGGAGGTGAAGGATTCTTCAGAGCCTGTTCCTGAGGGGGTTGTTGTTGATGGGGTCTACTTTGTTCCTCCTACGTCTAAGACCAACACTACTGCCGCCCCTGCTGCGAATGTCGCCGACGAGGGCATCTCCGATGCCCAGTCAAGCTACTACAACCTTCTTCACCACCGCTTCCTGCTCATTCGATCGATACTGAAATGCACACCTCCATCCGAGGCTATCGCCGGGCTCGACGAATCCCACCCGATCAGTCTGCCGCGGCACTCGCGAAACGCGCGCAAGGAATGGCGCCGACTACTCCTGGCGGTGGATCCACAGACTGTACAGCTGGCGTGTATGGATATGGAGAGTGTGCTGGGTGTACTGGAGATCATGGCGCGGTTAATGTCGGAGAATGTACGGAGTGGGGATGCGCAACGGGTTCGACGCATCGGGGCTTGGGCGTGGGGGTTGCTGGGGAAGTGTCGGGATGTTGGCCAGTTGGGAACAGAGGAGGTTGGGGAGATTCGGGATCTGGGAAAGAGAGCTGTGAAGATTCTGAGGAAGATGAGGGAGGAGGATGAGAAGAAGATGCAGGAGGGAGACGGGTCGGATGAGGAAGACGCTGAAGACGAAACGGGGGAAAACGCTGCAGAAGGAGAGGACGGAGCACAACAAGTGGATGGGCCGAGTGACGACCAGGATCACGATATGCAGGATGTGGAGGAAGAGAAGCCTGCTACTGAGGAGGAGCTGGAGGCAGCCAAAGCACGACTTCAGGCGAAGCTCGCAGGTGGAGAGGAGCAACCCGCAGTCACCGAACCCGAGGTTGACAACGAAGAACCTACGAATGAAGCGGCGACACAGACTCGCGCCATGCTGGACATGATCATCACGGTCATCGGGGAGTATTATGGGCAACGGGACCTGCTGGGAGCACGCGAGCTATGGAATGGGCCCGAGGCTACCGCATGACGAGAGAAAGATTGAGTGACCAGCCAGTTTAGTGAACAAGATACCCAGTAATATAGGACAGCCAATACAATTTAAATGTAGTAAATTGAAGCCTAATCATCTCGCTGCTCAAGTGTTCAAGTATAGATAGTTATGTGCAAGACAACCCCGAAAGTAAGCGGTAACTAATGACCTTGCGTCATTGTTGTGATCCGGCGGTGACTTACTTTACTTCCTTATCAGCGCATCTCATCCTCCACCGCTTCACCATTACTCACCATCTACACTCACACCTCAATCCAACGCAAACAATGCCCCAATAACTCCATCATCCACTATCACCACCAACCCCTACAAGCACACGAAACCCACAAACCAAAGAAAACCCAACAATAATGCCCCCCACAACCCTCGAAATCTCCATCCCCACAACCAGCATCTCCGCAACCCAACCCCCCTACACCCTCTACAACATCACCCTCCGTCTGCCCCTCCGCTCATTCACCATCTCAAAGCGCTACTCCGACTTCACCACCTTTCACAACACTCTAACCTCCCAGACAAATGCGCCCCCACCGGCCCCCCTCCCCCCGAAATCCTGGTTCCAGAACACCATCAACAACGCCACCCTGCGCGAATCCCGCCGCGAAGCACTAGAAGCCTACCTGCGCGCGATCAACGAAAGTGACGATCCCCGATGGCGGAACAGTCCCGCATGGCGGGCGTTTTTGAATCTTCCTAGCCTACCATCCAACAACAATAGCACTGGTGGTGGTAATGGGGGCGCAAGTACACGTCTCCACGCAGCAATCACCGACCCCGGCGACTCCGAAGGCGGAGGGATCACGGACCCGATTCTCTGGCTGGATTGTTTCAGGGATATGAAGGGGCATTTACATGATGCGAGGTTGTATTTGACGAGACGGGATCAGGAGACTACGCCGCAGCGACAGCATGAGAGTTCGGCGAGAGCGAAGAGTGAGCTTGTTAGGGCGGGTGGGTTGATTGGGAGTTTGGAGAGTGGGTTGAGGAATTTGAGTAATACATCTACTTCTGGTGGGGAGGAGAATAATAATGCAGGGTCAAGACCGGGTAGTAAACTCGGGCGCAGGAATACCGCTACGACTGCTGCCACGGCGTGGAGCGTTAGTGGGAACAATACCCTCGGGGAAGGGGAGATGCGACGACGGAAGGATCTATTGATTAACGCGAGGAAAGAGAAAGATGGGCTGGAGGATTTGTTGAATGCTATGGCGGCGAAGAGTCGGATTGATAGTGCGGTGGCGTCGATTCAGGATAAGGAGGCGTTGATGGGGACGCAGGGAGGCAAGAAGGCGATTAGGTCGTCTGGGAGGGTGTTGGGGAGGGAGACGGAGAGGACGCGTGAATTGGATAATACTGGGGTGGTGCAGTTGCAGAAGCAGATGATGCAGGATCAGGATGTCGCGGTCGATGAGTTGATGAGGATTGTTAATCGGCAGAAGGAGTTGGGGATTGCCATTAATAATGAGTTGCAGGTGCAGAATGAGTTGTTGAATTTGGCGGATGAAGATGCTACCAGGTATGTTTTCCTACATTTCATTCTTTTGGGGGGTTTTGCTAATCTGGCTGTAGGTTGGGTGGGAAGATTGATATCGGGAAGAAGAGGATTGGGAGGATTTCTTGATGTGGATAGGATGCTATGGTTGTTTGTGATGTCTATTTCTACTCATGGTCCTGGTTGATATCCCCTATATTGTTCATCGAATTTGGTACTATATGTTATGTGTGTTACTTTGGCACGGAATAGGCCTTGTTACTTAGCGCACAGGATTATCGTGGATATTGTAATCTAGCGAGCACAGTCATGCAGCATTGAAGCTTGTTCATATATCATAATCCAACCGTTATCCAGTATTAGACAGGTAAAAATAAGAGTCTGGTTTGTAGTTCTGGCTATTATACCCTTCCTGGAGAACTAAGCCTTATCAGAATACCCCAGTCTTCACTTAGCAGCCATAGACATAAACGCCTTCGCCTCCTCTTCCTCCACCTCAGACCGATCCGACTCCCCCTTGTCAATCAACCCCAACTTACTCCTCCTGAGCAGCCACCACAGCTCCCGTCTATCCCCACCAAGCTCCTCCTTCAACAACTTCTCCTTCAGCTGCTTCAAGAAATCATTATACAGCGCAGGTTCCTCATAATCGATCAATTCTTCCCGCATCACAACTAGCCCCTCAGCGACCCGAGGATAATTAACATCGCCAAGACTGTGTCTGATTTGGTCTTCGATGATAGTGCTCATCTGCTTCACTGCATCTTTGATTGTGTCGATGTTCTCTGCCTGCGAGAGCGTCTGCTTGAATTCGGGAATTGCATTGTTGGGTGAGATCTTTGTGCGCTTCTCTTGGTGGAGAAGTGCATCCACGTCGAGACCAGATAGTGGCTTCTCCGTTTCACGGGATCGTTTGGTGCCCTTGGTTTTTGGTGGGACTGGAATCATCGCCGTGAGTATGAAGGGATTTGGGGGAAGGGGGAAAGGACTGACCTTTCTTGACGTCTGATACTGCTACTAGCTTGTCTAGGTATTTCTTGGACTTCTCAACGAGGTCATCCGGAGGGTGGGAGAACTTTGTTAGGACTGGGGCAGGGGGGGGAATAGGGTCGTTAGGATGGATGGCACGATGGCGGACGGCAGAATCGATGCGGTGCAGGACTGGTGAGAAGGAGTCGTCGATTGGGAGAGATTCCGTCGGGTCACTTTGTATGAAGTCAGCAGGGAAATTGAGATCGCTTTTGGTCAATCTCACCCGTTCTCGTCCGTATCGGTGAGCTCCATAATTTTCACGTATTTGTCCATTGCATTCAGCAAATCGTCGCTGGGCAGGTTGCGATGCTGCGTCACCACTTTACCAGACACTGTAACGACCCTGTCGAGTGGAGGGAAGCGGTACGTTCGTACGTCTTCTGCGAATGGCAATTGCGCCTCGAGGAGACACTCGTAGTCGGGTTCGATTGATGGTGCAAGCACAACTATGACAGGGGGCTTGTTCTCTTTCAGCACCGTACGGGCAACAGCATACGATTCCAGCTCGAAGAGTGCATGTATGAAGGAGGAAAGAGCGAGTGCTGCCTTGTCATTGGCGCGCTGCGCAATGATGATGTTTGTCGTCGACATGTGCATGTACCGATCATACTAATAGCAAGATTAACTAAGCAGCACACAGCAGATATGGAGGGTAGAACTTACTCGATCGCTCTGTATGAACCCAAGAAGTTCGATAGCCGCAAATGTCTCCAGGGTGGTGATATTCTCATCCGTCTCGCTGATAGGGACCAATGTCCGCCCGTACTCGTAACCTTTGGCAAGTTGGTCTCGATCCACGGTTGTCACTCCGTCTTCAGTAGTCCCATCGTCAATTTGGTAGGATCTGCTGTTTCGAACACCTACAAGAGAACTACCATCTTGCGAGCCCGCTCCCGCCGCTTCCATCTCCTCTTCGTTACGTACTGTGAACTGACTAGCCGACGGCGCCTTCGCAACGTATGTCCTGTAGTAGCGCTCCACGGGAATTCGAACTGCAGTATCATATTCTGCGGGGTTTCCTAGCTGTAAATGGCCCTTGAAGCTTGCCGTTATCCTTGTGCTCTTAACACGAGGTGTTTCTAGCTCCGCAACAGCTTGTTCTAGGGTTCCATAGGCTCCATCGCAGTCTTCGGCCAGACTACGCAGGAGTGCTTCGTTTTCCGCCTGTAGTAGTTGTCATTAGCAGTTCAGAGCAGACGGAACAGTGTGGAATACCTTTCGTGGATCTTTATCTTCCTCCTTCACTCCGTAGTCAGGATCATCAAAATCCGGTCCCCTGCAGCATGTTAGTAACCCCATTCCCCAAGTGTATCAATCAACACTCACAAGATGATAAGCTCAATATTATCCTCCTTAATCTTCTTCGTTATCTCACTAAGATTGTCCGGGTTCATCGGGCCCTGCCCATTAGTAACCAGGACAATCCTGCGCTTGTACTTCAGTTTCTTGCATTGGGTGATAATCATCTGGATCGCGAGAACAAGCGCAGAGATAGCTATAATAATCAGCCAATGCCCAGCTACACCAATCCCTGTTCAAGAACTGCAACTCACCGTCTCCCTTATTAGTCTTGCTAGGCTTTATGCGATCGCTCAAACTCCGGATATCCGGCATAAGGAACCTATACTTCGTCAGCGAGCTACCAGAAAATCAACAGACAAATATGAACCATACTGCTTAATGCCAGATAAAACCGAGATATGCGAATAGTCAGAATCATCCTCCAATTCATTCGCGGTATCTAGACGTTCTTGCATTAGCTCCGACCCATCAACTACATTACCCGGCGGGAAGAAGCTCACACACCATCTGTCCTCAGCCCAAGAACACCGATCAAAGCCATTTTTCGTCCGGTGGCCACCTATCCCAAACAATGAGCTTACATCAAGAGCAGATTCTACAAGAAGAGGAATCTCACCGTCCCTGTGATGCGATCCCAAACATACTGCATCGCCCAGTCGAGATCCGTCACTTCGCGACCATGACGGCGCTCTCCCATGGACTTGCCACAGTCCACGATATAGACAGTTGCCTCTTTATCGGCCATTTTCAGTATATAAGACTGAAGTGATCGATGAAATCAGATCCATTCGATGCCGCAGCTGGCTCGACATAAAAAGAGACAAGCTCAAGGCAGAAAGATGCACTCTGAGTAGGCAGACGCGTGATATTTCCCGATTGGGACTGGGCGGGACGCGAAAGCACATGACATCATCCTGTGGATGCTGACTAAGAAGGGTGTGCAGTGGGCAGCTTATAGTTACTACATTCTAAATTAATTCATAGCATAGATCTAATAATTGTTTGGGATGCATAGTTGCTCCGATCGTATCTGTGTTTCGTTGGTGGGTATCAAGGAATACTGCGAACAACACATATGGGAGTCTGCACTTGGTATAAGTATATAGTTTCAACTGAGGGGAGTGTAGCGCCCGATTCATTACATACTTAACGGAGCCACCATGACTGAGCACTGATATCATGTTACTTCTTACCAGTACTTCTAACGGATGGACAATTAGATAACAATCCAAAACATATTTTCATCTGATCGAAGTAATCGTTGGTTTCTTAAACTCGAAAAAGACCAAGTATGTTACGGAAAGAGTAAAAAAGAGCGTTCCCCGGGACTCATAGAGTGAGTGGACACACATCTATTGTCTCTGGATGATCCAGTAATCCACTATAATAATGCCTGCTAAAGACACAAGAAAGAGAGAATAGCCGCCTAGAAACGAGGAGATTTGTATAGTGTAGCAATTCGAACACCATGTCCCGTTGCTTGTAGTGGAGGATTCCCTATATTAGTGGTTGCTTATATGGGTGCTTCACTGTATGACAGGTCATGTCAATGACTTTGAATACATATTTCTATAATAAATTAATAATATTAGCGATAATAGAAAGAAAAAGATAACAGAGCTAAAAAAGAATCAATTATACATCGTCAGCGACAGGATTCGAACCTGTGCACGCGAACGTATCAGATTTCGAATCTGACGCCTTAACCACTCGGCCACACTGACTAATAATAGCAGTAGTAGTAGTAGTAGTATTAGAGAGGTTCTGCACTATTATAATAATATTATCATAATAATAATTGCTAAAAGGGTTTAGCGCTGGCCAAAATAAGAAGGCGGTCTTTGCCTGACTAAGCAACAGATCTACATTTAGTATTCTCATTATAATAATATTATAATGAGAATAGTAACGTAACAGGTTTAGCGCCGTGCTAGGGATCCAGCACTTAAAGATCTCTATCTAGGGACCCTACGTAGGCACTCAACGCGTTGAATTAATAATAATTTAAAGTTATGTAAATACTCATATTCGCCTACACCACCACGAATTCAATGATTTTGATTACTATTTCTATAATAATAACTTCATCTTGTCCCTTTCGGGCAGGTGTTCTATGGCTGGGCCATGTCAGGATCCCGCCTGGTGCGCTTCAGGAGTGAATCCTCTGGCTATCTATCCACTAGACTATCCAGTAAAAGACTAGAATTCTGAGTCAACAGACTCAGAACGCGCATCTCTTATAAGCTTCAATTCACTAAATGGCAGGTATGTGACTGGTTGTCACAGGCCATATAGGTGCCTGCGGGTGCCTGGAAACAGTGGTTGACCGCCCACTAAACGGCCAATATGCTAAAAATGCCCTATTCTTAAAGAGTTGAATAGCTTCACTAGTAATTAAGTTGATGCTATTCCTAGTTGAGTTCTGCCAGGTAGAATTTATTATAATAATAATATTACTATAATAGTGTAGAACCTCTCTATTGATTATGATAGGAAGAAAGAGATAACAGAGCTAAAAAAAGAATTAATTGTAAAACGTCAGCGACAGGATTCGAACCTGTGCACGCGAACGTATCAGATTTCGAATCTGACGCCTTAACCACTCGGCCACACTGACTAATATGCTATCATCTTGACCTTGATTTGCCTCTGTATAGCTAAGCGTAGCCTCGGAGTTCCATCATCCATTATGCTGCCATGCTAACTATTGTCATAAGAATATCTTTCTCCTCTTTGGGCGGCCCACCTGCTGTCGGTAGGCCAATAGCTGAGAGATATACTAAATATAGTAAGTACTAATTGTATATATAATCCATCTGATGGTCCTACTGGTAGTACGTCTAGGTCTAGCAACACCTACAATACTACTTATTACTAACACCTACAATACTACTTATTACTACCTGCCTCAATACCAGTAAAAGTCCTCCAGGTCTTTGACTGAAATATATCAGGCATTAGTAATGGCAGTACTAGCCATTGAAGGAGCAGAGTCGCCTAATCAGGATCTCACAATTGGATAGTACACTAAAATTTTATTGGTCCTGTACTTCTATACCTTTATCCGATTCTGGTTTCTGTATACCTCAGACAGATACCAGAATCCTTAGATATCCTTTCGCTTACGGGACATTACCACTCCATTGTCATCTGTAAATGCACCCCCAATAAAGCTCTTCAATGCCGGGTAAGCTGCAAGTATCCTGGTATTTCGGTGATCAATGTCGATGAAGCGCCGAGGACGAGTATATATCTCAAGAAGCTGGTCACCATTAAGCTCATCCACAAGTGTATTTGCTTTGCAGCACGACTGCCAGCTTTTATGGCTTGCATATCGGACAAAGGTCTCTTGACCATCAGATTCCTTTATTGAAATGCGGAATGCCAGTCGAGCTCCGGGGTCCCCATCCCTGATATCTTGCGCCCAGACATTGGGGTTTCTAACACCAGGTGGGGAAAGTTCAGCCTTGACCCAGAATCCTCCCTTGTGGTTCTCCCTGGTCGCGTTTATGTAGATCTTGGTATGCTGGATGTCCACACTATAATGGCCTGGAGCTCGCTCACGGCCTTGATACCAGCAGCCCAAGGCCAGACACAACCGGTTCTTGAAATTGCCAATTCGCGTGTTTGCAGCTAGCTTTGGTTCCGGGATTTCAGTATATTCTCGGTCTGAATCTTCATCATCCAGCATAACTCCACACATAGCTGCTTCGTGGATGGCATGCTCATCAGCCGCATTGTACTCACCAGTCACTTTGTACTCTTCAGGTGTTGAGCTCCCGGGATGAAGTTCTAGATAAAGTGATTTGACTGCGCTTAGGATGTTTCTGTCTATAGTGCCGAGTCGCTTGGCTTTTGAATCAGGGATTCGGCGTACACCAGTTGACCTTACTTGTCTGGGAACAACAAGGCTAAGGACGAGAAGACCGTAGCGCAAAGAGCCCCCAGCAGACTGTTCAAGTCGACGAATCTGCTCCTCAGTCTCGAAACCATTCTTTGCCAACCAAGCTTGCAGGAGGGGCTCGAGATTTGCCGGGGCTATTTTCTCAATTTTCTTATTGTTTTCATCGTCCCAGTTCCGAATTATCAGAGCAAGCGAAACAGCTGACTCATAAAAGCCCTGTCTAAGCTTCGTGCCGGTTATATCGGAAACAAATCGAAATAATGTCCCTAACTGACATGCCTCTCTGGATTTGGTAGCCCAAAGGCCGCCGAGAGGAGCAGGCGAGCGAATAAAAGTTCGGTTAATCCTAGACTCTTCGATATCAAGCCATACTTGATACTCAAAATCATGTAGTTTCAGAATAGAACTCCTGAGGCGTATATTGGCCGGCATTGCTATTTTCTCCGAATTATGGCCACATAGCAAGATCACCCGCATCTGGCTTCCACAGATGAGCCGCCAGGTGTGTGCAGAGAGCACATGTTCATCAGCAATATGAAGTGGAGCTGCCTGAAATGTACCGGAGATGTATGTAAATTTCTGGAGATTGAAGGACCAGATCAACGAGTTTGTTTCGGTGAAGCCGCTCTCATGCAACCCCCATGGAAGATTAGGCCGGCCATCCCCATATGCACACGACGGTGCATGATCTAGGATGATACCGATCGGGGCTCGAGTGCTGCCAAAAGGACTTTCAAGGTCAGCCTGTGTCAAATTGCCCTGCTGCAATATGCTAGCCGATACCGATTCGAACCAAGAGCTGAGATCTATGGGCTCCTCTTCCTGTATTCTCCATATACTATCCTCAGATTGCGGCAAGTGGGGGTTTTCCAGCTCAGTATTTGTTTCTATGGCGTCCCATAATGCTGCAAGATGATCGAATGGGGTCATGCTGTTCCAGAACGACGATTTAACGATCTTATGGGACTGCTGGCTATCTTGGTCCCGCTGAGCCTTTAAAATCCTTCGGAAGCTTGGCCATTTCTTGATTTCCGGATCGGGAGACTCTTCCAGTAAGCACACGGCCTGATCACGAACAGTATATCCCAGCTCCCTGCCTTGAAAAAGAGGCGAAACAACATTTAATCCAATGCCGGAGTACTTTCCATTCTCAGGCGGGCCAAAAACCTGCTCCAGCGTCCGAGCAGGCAGAGACTGAAAAGCGAGACACATGACCTTCTCAAGAACATTATTAAAAACACTTCTAGTTACGCGATCGGTGCTTCCAGGGAACGGAATTGTCCACAGTCGAATGAAGTTGGCGTAACGATAACCTGCCCCTTCTTTTATGATATAATAATGTAGATTGTTTGCAGAACCCTTGCGAATAGCATTCGTATGCTGGGAAATCCGCCGATGGAGGTTTTCTGATTGGCCAACATATGCACGCCAGTACAATGGGCTGCGGGTGTCTCTTATATAGTCCAGGTAGCCCCCATTGGAGCAATGCCAAATATCTAGGCCTGTGGCTTGCTTTTGGCGGATATCGTCAAGTCTGAATGTTGTCAGTGAGACGGGATCTCTAAGTCGAGGGAGACACGGCGCTTACTTCTCAATATCGATGATCCTGCCCTGGAGAGACTTGGCTAGTGGGTCGATAGTGTCGTATACCATCCCAACGAATATCTCGGGGCCTCCTACATGCTTGACCACTGTTTTATATGGTAAGCAGTCAACCTTGATATCCGTAGAGTTTCCCGATAGCAAGAATTTGACCAGCGCAGCGATAGTATATCTCAGGTCTGGGAACGCTATCTTCAACACGCTGTCAGCCCGGTGCATCCAATCTTTGTTTTAGTGGTAATAGTGGTGCAGTCGTTACCTCGACGATAGGTGGGGAAAGTTCAAGGCCAAGGCCAACATCGTTCCCAACTGCAGCAACGGGTGCAATAGCAGTAGAGTCCTTATTCGATCTCGAAGGGCAGTTACTCATCTTGTGGCCCTTCTTGTGGCACCGGTAGCACTCGGGTCCGAACTCCGTGCAAGTGTTTTTCCGGTGGCCTACTCGCCCGCAGCCTTTGCAGATCGGTGCAGCATTGGGGGCTTGGGGGCAGCTATGCTTAGGAGTCAGGGGATGGTGGCAATACTGACAGAACCGATGGCATTCATGGCGCCAATGGCCTTCATAGCCGCATCTGCTGCAATATGGTGTATGGAGAGGCATTTTCGAGGGCTGTTGTGAACAATAACAACAATGAAAAGGGGTGATGGAATGAATAACTTATCTCGGTGGGGGGTGCGTGCAAGTTTAGATAATCAGCAGAGGCTTCTGGTGAGCCTAAGGTAACTGAACTATAGGGGTCACCTGCTAAGGCACCGTGTAGGTTTATGTGACGTTGTGAGCACCACACTCAAGTGCTCCCCTGCTTACATCTGGATGTTTTGGACTACAATACTAGCCCAAGCTAAATGAATAGCATAAACTAGTGTAAAGACACCATCTTACCAAGTAGGCCAGAGAGACATATATCACTGGCTAGTACTCAAGCTGACGGAGCAACAAATGTCTCAACATACTGTAGTAGTCACCTACAGTGATCCAGAACACATATGCAATCAAACATTCAATATATGATAGATGGCATCAACTTTCCATATGTGTCACTTGTCAAATGAAAGAGGGGCTATATTCCTATGAAATGGAATGGCTTAATACAACATATTGTAGCCAAAACCTTGATCCAGGGATGTTGTTTCGAGATCCGTGCTCTGTTCCAGATTATAAAACACATTACTTTATAGTTATTAAATATATATGATAAATTGTACAACTTACCAAGCGTGCTAGTCAGTGTGGCCGAGTGGTTAAGGCGTCAGATTCGAAATCTGATACGTTCGCGTGCACAGGTTCGAATCCTGTCGCTGACGATTTACAATCTATTGTTTTTGGCTCTGTTATCTCTTTCTTTCTATCATTATCATTACTACTACCACTACAACCACTACTACAATTATTCTTATTTCTCAATATTATCTGAAATATTCATCTTCATGCCAATTCAGTTCAAAATCTCCTTTATATTCGATAGTATCACTTGCCTTCACGTCACTGGGTCAAAGTAAGGAGACGCCCTGAAGCGATCCGGATGATATCAATACCTCAAAGAATGATAGATATGGCGGGTTGTCTTTCAGGCTTCGATAGATACATGGGTAGTTCAAGAGGGTCTAGAATTCGCAATTACAATGGGCTTGAACTAGATATAAATAAGTAAGATAAACAGAGATTAATCTAAGAATACCTTACCCAAGCTAAGACCTAAAAAAGGATAACAGATACTCAGATAGATCTTGGTACTAAAAATGATTTTTTAGATAATTAATTATCCCATTTTTAGCTGCTCCGCGGTTAGATATAAGAGAATCTTACATCTACTAACTGTTAACCGTTCGGCAGGTAGAAATTTGTCCCTTAACCTACCCTACCCTGGCCGTTAACCACTCTAAGTATAATTACTATATGTCTGGTGCTCAGGCCGCCCACAAATAATCTCTTACTTTATTTTACTAGAATACCTAGATCGCTACTAATTCAACTCACACTTTTACTACAATTTCGCGTTCGTTTGCTTGCTTTTCTATTGTTTCGTTGCTTTGCTAGTAATCTCGCGCCTCGACACTTTTCGTACTAAGCAATCTGCAAACTCAAGTTTTGGCAAATTCAGTTTTGCACCTGCTTCAAGAAGCATTTGCACTATGCTCTGATGCCCAGCGTACAACGCAGCTCCCAGAGCACTGTGGTATCTCCCACGAGACTGTTCCCAGAAATTGTTAGCTCCATGATGAATAAGTACGTCCACAGCCTTTTCATGACCTCCAAAAGCAGCAACTTGCAGTGTATCACCGAAATGACCTCCGTACCCTTGAACATAAGCTTTGTAAGCAAGAAGGAGCGACATTATCTCTATGTTGCCGCGGCTTGCAGCAGCCTGAAGGGCATCTCCCAGCTCATGATCTTCTTCGTTTGGATCTGTACCCTCCTCAAGCAGATGTTTTGTGATTCCAAAGTTGTTGATGACGACAGCTGCGCGAAGAGGAAATCCATATCGTCCTCGAAGCTTGATATTAGCTCCAGCATCAAGAACTAGCTGTACTATTGACAGCTTCTCACTTGCAATAGCAGCCGCGAGCGCATTGCCAAAGAAACCCTTCTCCTCGTCTATGCCGGTGCAGCTTTGCAATAGCAGCTTTGCTCTCCTCCTTTTGCCCCCCGCGAGGGCTATTTGCAGGGGATCAGGTCTGATTTTTGGAGCAAAATCTCCAACTTCCCCTGCCATAAGCCGCTGGAAAATTGGAATATTTCCTTCGAAAGCTGCGGTTTCAATGGCATCATTAAATTGCTGCTGTGTAGTAAGTTTTGCCCTAACATTAAGCAGGAGTTCTGCAATTGCACTGTTATCACTCGCCAAAGCCGCCTGCAGGGGACTGGAATATTCACCCCTTCTGGGCACAGAGGAAGAGGCGCCATGATGGATCAGAAGCTGCACTATTTCCGTCAACCCCCAAAAATACGCCGCTCGAAGTGCATTCTCGTACTGAAACCCCGGTGCGTCTATATTGGCTCCCAAGTCTAGGAGCTTCTGAACAACCATGATGTGGCCACCACGAGCTGCCAGGTATAGCCCAGAGCTTCCATCTTTGTTTGTCTGGTTCACATCCCAAATCCTCAACATTATTGTTATTCTCAAGCATTTCCACGAACCCAAAGCGGCAGATCAAAAATAGCGGTGTTCGTGGAGTGCTTATTGAGGCATCAAGCTTTCTTTCATTTGTAGATTTCTACCTAGAACTGCCTTCTCTCTGCTGTAGCTCGAAATTGTCCAGCCAGTCATCAAAGTGCTCTTCTTTTGTAAAGAAGTCTGTGAGACGAGGAACAACTTTGGCTCTTTGGGGTGCACACCCAAGGTCCTCCACATGAGATGGCCAATAGTTTGTAGCGTATTTGAGAAATCCATTTTCACCACAATCTTCGCCCAGATATGCACCCAGGCACCTCAGGGCCATGCTATAGCACACTTCTTTATCGCGATAGATCTCAACGGTTTCGAGATATCTGTAGATTGTGTCAGCTGCTACGATTTGGGTACAGGCTGATCTGATGATAATTACTCTCGAACCGTCGGATGAGCGAGCCTGAACGTATTTGTTTCGTTATCTATCACCACCAAGCCACAGCAGTAATCAATGATGGTCCCCGATTGCAGAGTCGACAAGCACCTTGCCGAACGTGCTACGGCGATAAGAAAATCTGGGATAGGGAGCATTCGTTTCGCACCCAGAAGCCAGTAAAACGTAAATCTAGCCACTTCTCTGGCAGTTACCTTTATTGACTCAATTCGGCAATGAATGGCGGCGTAGGATCGACCAAGCGTTGCAGGTAGAGATTTTAGACTTCATAAATACATTCCAGGTCTTCAACTTGCGAGGTATCACTGATACATTCGAGTTGCAGCGACACCCATAGGAACCTGTAATATTAAGTCAGAGAGCGATTCTTAGAACGACCTTGGCCCCACCCACATTCCTTGTGCTCCAGTAATAAGTGTCTCTTTCAGGTCCTTCTCCAGCTGTTGTAGTATATCGCTTGCCTCGCTGTGTAGATCGGCCCATCTTAACACAAATTTGCTCACACGGAGAGCAATGAAGTGTTTGAGATCATCTTCAGTGTCTTGCGGTGTCACACAAAGAGTCCGTTTCTGTCTGAATCCAGTAGCAATATCCTCTTCGTATCGACTGGAGATAAATAATTTGACCAGATCGCGACAGCTCTGACACATTTCTTCGAGAGAATGCTGCAGTATCATACGCTGCTGTGAATCACATTCATCAAGAGCATCGATAATTAGTATGACCGAGGCTGACTGGCCAAGCTCACACAATAGCTCGGTGCACCTTTCTACAGACAAAGCAGCTGGCCCTTCACCATAGTAATTTGCTTCTTGAAGGCGTTTCCGATACTCCTCGATGACTGGAGTCCTCATCAGATCGTTACTAGCGGATAGAGAAAGCTGCTTTATGAGTGATCGGAGTATCTCCCCAGCATCGCCACGCTCTGGTTCCGCCGGGTTTCTCGAGCAAAAAAAGTGTACTATCGGCAGGGAATGCTGTACTTTACTAGCCTGAAGGCATAAATGCTGTACGACAGCAGCACTTGTCTGTATTAGTTAAGGGCTAACGTCGTTAGTCCCTAATTGAGCAGACTCACGCGATCTTGGACTTTCCGCAGCCGGCTTCTTGTCAATTTGATAGGGAAACTTTGGAATATCATAGTTCAACCCACGTGTCCCATGCAACCAAAGCACCTCAGAGCTACTAGAATTGCTCCATGCCTGGAATTCAGGGTGACGGAAAAGCCATTCTGCAGAGCCTGGCATCAGCGATGTTGATGCCTCACGAAGATATTTCTGAGCCGGGACAGCTGATATCCAACTCAGGGTTTGGTCCCTCTCGTTGTCTAAACATGTTTAGTTTGTGTGGAAGCGTATGTCAAGCAGCTGGCTAATACCTTTCAGAGCTCGATGAAGGTCAGAAACTTGATCCACAACTCGTGTTACTGGCTTATCAAGGTCCAGGAGGTCTTTTTCTAGTTTTGCTTTCATATCATTGACCTGGTCCGCCGTTGATGTAGCTATAAGGATGGTGTGCAAAACGTGTGTCTCGATATTACCTAGGTCTAGAATAAAGTTTAGTCGAACAAATCTCAATTATGACGTTCTAGACTCACCTTCGCTATCAGCGAGCCCCTTCTGTATCAGAAATTGCTGCTCGGCACTCTTTATTTCCTTGGTGCAGTGTCTAAAATCGTCTTTGGACATAAAGGCAACCGCACGTTCTAGTCACCAAATATTGGCCACTGAACAACGAAACAAAGTCTTGAAACCAACATGCTCGTTCGCGAGCACTGATAATATTTCCTCGCCAGAGACAAAAATTTCAAGACCGCTGTATAGCACTTGATGATTTCATCTTGCAAGGCCTGTCTTGCTTCACTCAGCGCAGAGTTCTTCTGATAATATGAACCTTCGAGTATTCCACCCCGCGCAATGACCCTCACAGACGTCTCGAGCCCCTCCACAATAGCACCGAAAGTTTCGATTCCGTTCAAGAACAGCTGAAGCACAAAGCGCACTCCTGCCCAAGGTAGTGCCGCATGGACCGGGTCATAGGAAACAACGATATCGAACACACTGGCAAACTTGTTCATGCAAGCTACAATTCGCAAGCTACAATTTTCGCGCATACATCACGAATGATGATCTCCTTGCCACCGATGGTGGTGGTCGACCATTTGTGGCGTTTGCAACGATCGCGCTGCATTTCGATTGCAGTGATGGTGTCGGTCAATGTCTGTGAGACTGGTGGTGATGCAATGCCTGACGTGGGAAACATGCGCTGATCTTTGTCTGGGAGGGCGGAGAGGGCTCTCGCCCAGAGGGAGGTGGTCATTCTGTGTGAAATTTCTCCCTGGTAGCAACTCTTGTGGTAGGTGCGACGTGATCCTTTAGCGAATAATTGGATGCGGAAGGTATAGATCTCATAGCTGGTACAAAATGTTGGGAAGAAAGGTGGCAGCGAGGCCTGATATGGGACGGTGGCTGACAAGGCTGAGAAGGGATCGAGCGGGGTTGCCATGTTTGCTTATGCAAATGCTTATCACTGTCATATTATATCTTTCGCTGTGTGAAGCGTACTTGCAGCGTACTATACTATAATCTAGCGTCCCAGAAAGGATATGGTCATCACGTAAAATAGAAATGGCGAAGAGACTTCTTTTCCATGTGGTGAGTGCCCAGGGAAACGTAAGATTTAAGTATATTGCTGCGGAGTAGTAGGGGGATCTTGGCTTCGTTAGTAGGCTATCGGTTTGCCAGCGTCAAACAACTAAATCCACGTAAAAGTGATGCCATTAGCAGAGCTAGGCAAAGAGAAGCAAGGACATGAACTTGCTATCATCCTATTTTTTTAGAGGTGGGGGGGGGGGGGGGGGGGGGGGGGGGGGGGTGGTAACTGGACGGTACTGACTAGTTCAATCCATATGACTGTAGCAGCTACTTGAAGCGACTGTATGATGATTGATGATATTGTAGAGGTAGCGGAGGAAGAGGGGTCCTCGAAGCTATACTAGATGGTCTAATCATACAGAATAGGAGGGAACATGTAGTCATGTGACAATGACGATTCTTTACCGTAGCAATCAGTAGTAAGTAGTTTAGTTTCCAGTGGAAATTGATAGTGTCCTCACTGTCTATCAAATGGATTTTTTGCAGGCTATATATAGCATTATTTAGTACATTCCCAGTATTTGCCAACTACTGGAAAAGTATTGCATTCCATCATCTATACATTGAAGGCTTCTTCTCTAAATCGTCTGCGTTTGTTTGTCTCATACAAGAGGAAGTTTGGTAAGGTGTCAGGACGCATCCCGTATGGTTTCTAGCAGAAATGGTGAGAATTCGATTAAATTTAGAAGTCTGGCAGACTATCCAACTGAAAGGATTTTGTGCCATTTGATCAAATTCTCGTGAGCTTGTCCGTTTCACTCTAGACCAACTAGATACAAGCATTGCTATCCTACACATTCTCCCATAATGTACAAACCTCCATACTAACAACAGAGAAAGTATCCCATGAGAAAAACCATACTCCATATCACTTTACTGACAGCGCAACTAACCCATTCCAAACCCCTCGAAGCACAACCCCCTCGCCATCCCCTCCGTAGTGAACTCAACCCCTTCCTCCTCCAACATTCTCTTCTTCATGCCGACCCCATCCTTCGCTTTCTTCTTTGCCCCTCCTGACCCCTCAGCACCGGAGTACCCCACCAGCAGCTTCCCGTTACCCCCAAGCACCCGATGACAGGGTACCTCCGGTGCAAACGGGTTCAGACGCATCGCGGCCCCAACTGCTCGTGGACTAGTACCAATATGCTTAGCAAGCGCAGCGTATGTGGTCCAACGGCCTGTGGGGACGGATAGCAAAGCAAGGTAGATTTTACGGCGGTGAGAGGGGAGGGTGGGGTGTGTGGTTATTTTCTTGATCATTTTTGTTTTGATGTCTGTCACTGGCGTCATTTCCGTTGGTTGTGGGGATGGTTGTGTAATAGACTTCTGTTGTTGTTCTTGTGGTTGGTGTTGCGTTTGAGGTAAAGCCATGGTTACAGGCCCAGTTCTCTGTTGGTATGTAGTATTTCGCCTGGATGTATGATTGGATGGTGATGATTGCCGTTGTTTGTGTGAGGATGTTATATTTAGATAGCAGTAGACAGGGGCAAGGATGATGATGATGGTTTCTTTGTTTATTTGATGTTCGACCGTTGAAGGATGGATAAGGTACGGAGCACAGAATATGTTGTGTTGGTGTGGTATGAGATAACTTTCTTTGTCCTTTTCCCGTTTGTTTGTGATCCCTTATCGGGTGCAGATGTTGGGTAGTACTAGTAGTAAATGAGATGATGAGATGAGATGAGATAACTATGGATGAGGTACCCGCTCTGCTTTGTTTTGTGTCCGAAACTTCACTCAATAGGGAATTAAGTTCAGCGATTAAGGGGTACAAGATACTGTTTGTGTTGGGTTAGCTTGATCTTCCTTTGTATTGTGGATGGCTATTTTTATACCTATAGTATAACGGATCACTCAAAACAAGGACAAAGTGGTTTGAGGTTTGGTGGGTAGGTAGTAGTACTAGATGGAAGCAAAATACATGGTGGCACAACCGTTTGATGCTACCGTAGAACGTTGTTCTTTATATGCAGAACTGCAGAGCGAGAGAGGGGTCTGGAACTTGACTCCGCAACGTTGTGCTCGAATTGACGAATCGGGTGGTTCCGTGCACATGACTGTCTCCATTCCTGACTGGTGTGGCACGGCATGCTTCCGTGGTTGGAGAAATCTAGCCATTCTATGGTTCGTCTCATTCATGATTCTTTATGCGTTTGAATATGATGGAATTGCAGCATTCGCCGGGATGGCAGCGGGATGGAATCTGATGCGATGCACTGCCGTTAGGCCCAGCCCAGACTTACCGCGATGGCGCACAAACGTTGCTTCTGGTGTCACCCCGGTAGTCATAGTAAAAATAGCACCAGGCTCAATTAGCATAGTCGTAGGATTACATTGTCGGTTCACTATTTCGGTGGATTGAAAGACGGGATGTGCGTTTCATCCATAGTCGCTAGAAGAATGTCAGTGTGCCACAGGCTGAGGTGGGGATTCTACTGCGGGATAAGGACAGTTACATGCCGATATGTTTGGATTAGTTACATCTTACTGTTCCACTACCCGATGCGATTACCTGCAGCGCAGGCGTGGCGAGAATTACACTGGCTTCGTTCACTTTGCCGTCGCTGAAACTAGTATGTTCCTCCCGAGAAGACAGATGTTGCATCTTGTGACATGTTGAAGGTAATGTATTAATAAACTTGTGACTGGTACACAATGTCTATGTGTATAAGAAAACCAAATGAAATGGTATATGCCAAAAGGAAAATAGATAGAATGAGGTCCGGAACGCCATACCGTCCGTGGGTCATCGACAACATGAAGAAGCATAAGCATAAGCATAGACATGAGAAGCATAGCGGACATAGACGGACGTAAAGTGCCATGGGTGATCACCCGGCAACAAACAGAAGGGTATATTGAACAGCATCATGACGCAAAGGGTATAAGGCAGAGGAAAAGCATCATGACACTAATCGGTTCGCGACCGCTTGGTCGTCCGACGCTTAGGGACGTCCCAGTGGTGAAACGAGCGCAGGTGTTCAATCAGATGGTCGCGACGCGGAAACCCATTGCCATCCTTGCGCAGACATTCTTGTACTGGGCAGTCCTGAAACACGGGGTTGTGGACGCTGGTGTGATGCCGTTTCAGGTCGGCGGGACGTGTGAACGCCTTGCCGCAGTCGCGGCACGAGAAGGGTTTGACGGGTCTGGCCAGATCTATTAGATTACGGTCGGAAAATTTTTTGTTAGGGCGGAAACCATACCTAGAGTTGTCTAATGCGTCGCAAGTCTCTTCCGGAGAGTATACGACCTCAGTGCTGGGAGTGGTGGATTGCGGTGCAACCCATTCCCCGCCCGGTACAGGCACCGGAGGTGTTTGTGTTTGAAGGAAAGTGTATGTTTCCGGCGAGTACATGAGAGAAGGAGTGAAGTTGTAGTAGGCGTTGAAAGGGGAGGAATTGACGGATGATGTGAAGGAGGTGGAGTCGTAGGAGGATGGTTCGAAGGAAGGTTGGGTCATGGGCAGATCGGTCGCCGCCATGGTGTACATGGTATTATCGAAATATCCGAAAGCCGATTGCATGGAGTCATCACTGCTTTCCGAATAGGATCTTTGTTCGAGAGGAGGGCATGATGGAATATTGTGGTGCTGCGGCGGGAAGGTCAGTTGGGGAGTGACGCGCGAGGGAGCGAACGAGAGAGGTGAGAGGAGGAGGGAAGAGTGGAGACGGATCGAGACCCTGATGATCGGGGAAAACATACCATTGCAGTGGAGGCAAACATGATGGAGTGTAGGATGGGGAAGAATCAATTGGTAGGAGGGACAGGACCAGCAGCTCAATGGCCGAATTGTTCTGGAAGAAAAATGGAAGACTTGCCTGGCCATCGTGACTGGGCCCCGGGTTTTTATAACCACATTTTTCTTCAATTCTTTGATCCAGGTCGACCTACGGAATACGTCGCACTTGCATTAGGCCAGGACGGTGGTCTCCACCATGGAGCCCAAAACCGCCAAAGCCAGACGGTGCTAAGCAACACGAACGCACCCACGGCGACATCATCAGGTGAGCCCGCTCCTATGATCTTCCACTAGAAGTCCGCGCAGATTGGATGGGGGAGGTCGGGAATGCAGGAGGAATCGCAGCCAACACACAGCCCCCCCGGCTCTGAGCGCTCATTGGCGAGGGTGAGCCACGAAAGTGAAGCAATCCTGGCTAGTGCTGACGCTAGAAACGCCGAAGAAGCATTCGAAACTTCTTCCAGGCTTCCAGAGGCCTTCCATGGCTGTGATTGGCAGAGGCCGAGTCTTGGGACGGAAAATAACCAGCGATGGTGTCCACTCCGGGCCGAGAGAGGAGCCAGACGAGCCAGACAAGGAAGACGGACTGTCCTGTGTGGCCTGCTGAAGAAGGAAAAGGACCGGAACGAGGGTCTGCGGTGACACGACAGCGAGACCGCAATATCGTCATAGGGTGCGATCCCCCACAACAACAAAGAGTCGGTGGAGCCCGTCGGCCGTGCTGGAACTGGCTGGCTTTAGACTAGAAAGGTTTTCTGGGACGGACTACTGACGATGATGATGATGATGACCGACCGATGTGGATGTGCTTTTTTTTCGTTTTCCCCTTCCCAAGACGCCAATTCCCTAGTCGGGAATTCGTCCGTTTGTTCGCCTTGTTGTGGTCCGACATGGCCATTCGTTAAATGAAAGGCACGCGGACCGTTCATCGGAAGGCTCCGATGATAAAATGTAGTAACAGTAAGAAGATCTGATCCTCTTTTCTAGCTTTGCAATTGATTGTTATGATTGATCGCTTGCAATTCACGGTCGCGGAGAGAGCGGCTCCTCCACCAAAGAAAAAAGTACGAACGAACCACGAGTCTTGTCACGAGAACCTTGTGAATGAATAACTTTGGGGCTCTGGGGAAGGAAGAAAGGGCAGATCTGACGGGAGTGTCACTCCTTGCTTGAATTCCCATGATCCTGAGTGGATGATTTTTGACCCTGGTGATGGGTGCACTGTGCAGCCTGTTCCTGCTGGACGGGAATTTCGCTCTTTCTCCCGACCGACCGAGGAGATGGAGTAAATCGGCACGGGCTTTCCGGGCGTTTCGTCAACCGCTTCTCCCACACATTTTCCACCCGCCAAGTGCGCGATTCCACAGCCTTGTGGTTGGTGCCAAGCAGCGTCTGTCTGGGGAAAACAGCAGGGACTGGTACACTCTGGCTCCCTATGACGACGACAACCTTGGGGGATGGGGAATGATAGTATCGCACAGCCCCCCCTTGCGACCGGGGTGAAGGGTTGATGATGATGATGACCACTTCCCCGGCTAAGTTAGTACACATAGATAGCGAGCAGGATTGAAGCTCATCAATGCAAGTGTAAAATGCCTCACATCGGTGCTAAAGAGTTGCTTCAATCCTTCCCGTGAGTGATTAATATGTCAGAAGGTTTAAAACAAGTGAGGCGACTGCGCGATATTCTCCTGATAATCTCTCATTTGCTTCACCATCGCGATGGGACAATCTATTCTTGTACACTCACTGACAATCACAACACCCGCAAGTGGCTTAGCTTGGGGTTGGTTTCCTCCTGTTCACCGCCTGCTACGAATGCGACGAATGCTGCCTGAGGTCTGGATTCAACTATGTACTACACCACATCATAATTAGAGATACTCCACAAATATTCACCGTGCACTTGAATTAATCTACTTAATCAAGTTTACTGAGAACATGGTGAAACCAAAGCAGAGCACTGAAATGTAAACTGAAGCAATTCTGAGACCGGCAAAAGTAATTGTCGCGGAGGCTGGGCCGCCAAGAATAGCACTACCATAACCTTCCAATTACAGCAGGCGGTCAGACAATGCCATAACCCACTCTCTCACCACTTGGTGAAGATGCCAACACCACTAGTAGTAGTATTCTTCCTACAACTTTGTGCCATGTGGATCGCGACAATTCATCCAGTTGTCGGGCAATCCACAGAGAGCCTCGGACGGAGGACATTATTCCGTACTAACTCTGTCAAGTGCGTCACGGGGAAAAAGAAGAGCTAACGGAGAGGTGATGAATTGATCGCTACCGAGGTTTTGCCCTTTAGTGTTTATCGCACTAAGTAGAGACTTACTTCAAGGGGAAAATTGAGTGATTAAGTTGGTACTTTTGTACTACACAAATTCCGATCTATTTAGTGTTTTTCTTTTTCCTTGGCTTCACTATTGGTTGGATGTGTTAATCATCGTCCAGCCACATCATTATCATCCCACCCGTCTAGGGAACTTAGTGCTTGTTCCTATCTTCTTTCTCTAGGTATCCCTGAGTACGGGGGTAGTTAGTTAGTCTAACTATCTTTCTGGGCGTTTTCTGCAAGCACCGCTCACTTGACAGGGATTCCCTTGCCGATTTTACCGATCAACAGACAGGTTTGGTCAAGTACTATGGACTCCATTATTCCATCTCAAATGGTCAATGTACGGTAACAACAAGCATCACTACCTAAAGTCATGGCTGCATCCCGTAAGCTACCATGTAAGAACAGCACAGAACTCCCATGTCTCGTAGACTCGTCCCTGCATGCTCCCCCCCTCCGAAGACTTGGATGAAACAACAGATCGTTAAACAGATGGCAACACAATCACCAATTGCATAGACACATTGATTAAACTTAACTCCCATATTTCCGTGCATCCTTGCTAATAAAGCCAAACCCAACCGACCGAGGCACTTTTTCCACTTATCTTCATCGAACCCAGCCATGTACAGAGACCTCTCATGTTTGTGCATCATTCGATTACAATTCATCCTCCAGGTATTTGTAGACGAACTTGAAGTCAGCCTTACGACGGTTCATCCTGCAAGAGTTATTTGTTAGTTGGGTTCTTTCTGCCGTCTTCGGGAATTCCGAGTGGGTTACTTACCATGTACTTTCATAATCGAAGAAGCGATATGTGCCCTGCTCGAACTCCTCCGTGATCGTCTTCGGCTCCTCGTGACGTTGGAACCAGGTTTGGTATTGCTTGTGGAAACGCCAGCTTTGGTTCTTCAATGCCTTGGCCGCGAGATACTGCTGGTAACTGCCTTGTCGGTAGTAGAACAGGTAGAACAGTGTATCCGTGTCGATGCGCCCGGTCTCGTACAAGCGCGGATCATCAAAGATAGTGAGCGGTTCCTGAGGATAGTATAGAGGCGTATTGTAAGGGTTCTGAGGCTTGTAATGACGAGGCTTCTCCGCATCGGCAGGCTCCGGGCAGTTCGCGAGGGATGTTGCAAGCATGCGCTGCACTGACGGGGACGCGTTGGCTGCGCTTGCTGACGCCCGGGACCTCGTGACCTCGAACGACTGAATAAGATCCTGCAGGCCGGGAGGCAGATGGAAGATCGATTCCTCGCTCTCCTGCTCCTCTTGCTTACTCGTCGCCTCACCATTCGGCGCGGGCTGCTCCTTGGCAGCTGCTGGGGCCTCCGCTTTCTCCATTGTTTGTGACGATGTGCTCGCAGCAGCCACGTTGGGGCTGACGGAAGGTGTTTTTGATCGTGCACCGGTGATGTCCTCCGCCGCTATCGTGAGGACCGGTGCGGGCTTGGATGAAGTAGGTTGTACCGATGCAACGCTCGGCGAGGCAGTGGCTGAAGCTTTGTTTGCAGGCACAGCGTGCGGGAAAGCGGGGCTTGCGCCTGGAGGTGGCGGAAGTGGTGCAATGCCCACCCCGTTCTTGTCACTTGCTGCAGCTGCAGCGGCAGCGGATGCGTACTTGAGTGTTTCTCCGGGGAGGCGGGTAGGCGGTGGTGCGGGTTTCATGCCTGAGGCGGCAGTCGTGGAGGTCGACGATTGGAGTGTTGCTAACACAGGTAGAGGCGATTTCATCTGTGCAGATGGCCTTCGAAGTCCTGCGCTCTCACCCTTGTTGACCTTGGGCTTGATCTCCGGCTCCTCATCTTGAATCGATTGCGTATCTTGCGAGGATACCTTATCGTTGTCCCCTGTCATGCCGAACTGCACCTCTGCCTCGTTGTCCAGGTTCAGGTCGTCGTACAAGGTTTCATCCTCACCAGAGTAGTCAATGTTGTGCCCATCCTCCACATAGTACTTGATACTTTCCTTGATATCCAGCACCTGAGGGACTTCGAGGTTTCCGTTCTGCAGCGACCGTAGCAACAATTCCAACTTATTGACATGCCACTTATGGCGATCTGTTAAGCGTGAAAGGTCTGACAGGCGATTCGTCTTGGCCACATCCTTCTTGCCCTTCTTCATTTGCATGTGAAGCGTTTCCTCTTCGGCTTCGAAGGATTCGATCTTTTGTTGCAGCTCGTCCACCATGTTCGATAGGAAGTCGCAAGTCTCGACCTTCTCCTTCTCTTTAGGATCTAACCTGGATGCAGCCGACAACCCTTCTTTCGAATATGCCTTTGTCTTCATCTCCTTCTCGACCGCCTTGAACTGTTCCATGCACTATCAGATAACACAAGTTAGCAGCAGCCCCTCATTGAGTAAGCGCTTCAACAGGGATCGGATAAGCCCACAGTCTCAATGGCCCTGCGCTGCTCAAGCAGCGGCCCCTTGTCCTTGACCTCATTTCCTGATGCCCATGACTTGATTTGGTCACGATATCGTTGTAGCTTCTTGATCTCCCGTTTCAGGTTCTCCTCGAGCTTATCCCGTTGCGTGATATTTGATGTTGACCGGATCTTCTCATAGATACCCTCAAATGTTTGAATACCCTCGGCAACCTTCTTGAAGGTCTTGTCGATCTCCTGCTGCGTCTTCCGGGACGTCATTGCTGCGATTCACCATGCACAGGTCGGTAAATCTCGAAGGCTGGTCAGGATACAGGTAGCAGGAGGATGCGGGAGGGGGTCGAAGGAATGGAACAGAGGGAGATGAGTGCGTACGTAAAGAAAAGATGAATACTATGAGAACGCGTCGCGAGGCAACTCTCAACACCAAGCGCGCGCGAGCGTGTCTGTATATGCGAAGCTCTTTAGACGAGTGAATCTCCTGATACTTTGTCTGGTCGTCCAGAAGCTGGGATAGAGGCCTAAAAGGGTAGGCGGTCACAAATGCTCACAAGCACTCAACATCCATGCCCGTTCTCTACTTTGGGTGGAGGCGAAACCAGGTTCGAGATTCAACCATTTCGCACAGCTGCTCATATTGCTGTGGATCTGTTTGAACTTATTGATGATCTAGCCATTCCAGGATGATTTACGTCTGCCTCCGCTTCCGCTAATGTCCTGAGATTATTAGGTCTGTGTGTTTCCCGTTTTCAGTATCCCGCCGCATTTGGTCCGTCCGTTGATCATCAAGTGACTGACAAACCCCCATTTCATAGAAAGCGCAACACCAATTTCGACAGTCTTCAGAGCCCTATCTCCTCAGCGCATGCTGCCTTACCCCTTACTCCCTCAAACGACTCATCATAAATCACCATGAAAGGTGCGCAATGCAATCTCACCCGACCTAATAACCAATAACTAATATGCGTCGTCCCTCAGCCGTTCTACAACGAGTCAAGTCCGCCTCGGTCACTGTGGATGGCCACCTAATCTCCTCGATCGGACAAGGCATTCTCGTCCTTGCCGGCGTAGGAAAGGAAGATACCGAGAAAGATGCCGACTCAATGATCGGGCGGGTATTAAAGGCGAAGCTATGGCCCGACGAGAACGACAAATCGGTATAATATACAACCCAATACCCTTCCCCGCAATACCAATCCAGCTTATTCTAACCCACCTCTCCCAACAACCAGTGGAAGAAGAACGTGCAGGACATAAATGGAGAGATCCTCTGCGGTATGCGCAACCTCACCTAACCAACACAAACCAACCCAAAATCAAGAAACCCACCTACTAACTATACATACAATAATCCAGTATCCCAATTTACACTCTACGGCCACCTAAAAAAGGGCAACAAGCCCGACTTCCATGAAGCCGCCGACGCGGAGACCGCGCGCAAACTGTATGATTACTTCATTCAACGGTTGAGCGACTCGTACAAGCCCGAACGGGTGAAGAACGGGGTCTTCCAGGCGATGATGGAGGTCGAATTGAAGAACGACGGGCCGGTGGGTGTAGATTACCGCAGTGAAGATGCGGTGGTAAAGCTCTTGCCTTCTCCTCTTCCTGCTAATTCCTATATGTCCTCAAAATATATGCTAATCGTTCTGTGTTTTGTGTGTGACAGGTTACGATCGAGATCAATACGCAATTACCGAAGAAGGAGAAAAAGGAACAGCCGCCTGGCAAGGAGGATGGGAAGCCGCAGACATTCGAGTTTAAGTTGCCGGCGGAGTTGATGGAGTGAACTGCTTCGATGGATGGATGAATATATGTTGATTCCTCTTGCGGTCGGAAAAGAACAAATGATTGTGGGTGGCTATGACGGCCGACGGACCAACTTCTTTTCTTTCAAGTCAAATTGTATATACCATGTGATACCAATCAATAGATGCGAGGCATAGACGGGTGTGCTATGTAACTGGGACTACTTGAAACTTGCTACTGAACAATACATAGAACAGCTACCGCTTGTACAAGTAGCATCTGGTGTTTCGTGGATTTCCAGCATGGTTTGTGTACTAGTGCATGGTGTATTGGCTGTTGGAAATTGAAAGACCCAAGATCTGGCAGGCAAGGAAGTTACTACTACTTTACTAGTAATGTATCACGGCCACGGAACCGTAAAAAGCCTACGATTCTCAAGTATAGATCAAAGATACGTTCATCGACCTGGTTTCGTAGCGCATAACGCTACTTTACCTACGGGACTCGATTCCTTTCTATTGTACAGAGTGCTCTGGTCTGCCGAACCGCATAGCCTAGTAGATGCTAGAAGCCAACTCGAAGCGAAGCGCAAAGCCCGTACGTCGTTGCATAGCCGCTGAGGATGAGTAAAGGTCTTTTGAAAAATTCCTATTGTGCACCAATCCAATGCAATGGTTGTAAGAGAGATTAGACTTAGTTCTCACTTTTCACCCAAGGCCGGGGATTTTAAGAAATGGGAAAATTAAATCATGCAATCATGAATCATGACGTTGGTCTCTTCACGAGAAGAACTTCTGAGCCGTAGCCCTCTCGCGAGCCTGGCGGTCCTTGACGGCCTTCTTGACCCGGGCAATCTCGTTGGTAATGCCAGCATCACCGGGAGCCAGCTGAGAAGCCTCCTGGAGATCCTTGAGAGCCTCGTCCTCCTCCTTCAGACCGCTGTAGGCCACCGCGCGGCGGTAGTAAGCCTTGGCCTTGTCGGCATCCTTGGCGTTCGCAGCAGCAGCAGTTTCGAGAGCGTAAGTAGCCCAGGTCTGGCCATTCTTGAACTGACCAAGCTTGTTGGCAAGTAGAGATGAGTTGGAGTGCAGAGTGAAGCGGAGCGCCTTCATCTGGGGGTCCAGATCCTTGGGGTCCTGCTCATCGGGCTCAGGGAACTCGTTGAGATAACGCAGACCCTTCTGGTACTTCTCGAGACCGAGGGTCAGGTTTCCGCTCTTGAAAGCGGTGTTTCCGAAGTTCTTGAGCTCGGTCGCGATCTTGAAGCAGACAGGGGCGCTCAGCTCCTCTCCCTGGTGGTCATCGGGGAAGTCCTCATAAGGATCACCAGTCGCGTCGGGGATCTGCTTATCAGCGTTTTCGTACTCGTCGCCGGTGAGCTCTCCGCAGTCGACAATAGTGACGTCGGTGGTGGGCTTGTCGGCCTGGGTAGACATGTTCTCGACCTTGCGGACAACGCTCTTGCCGTTGATCACCTCACCGAAGACGACGTGCTTGCCGTCCAGGTGGGGGGTGGGCACGGTTGTGATGAAGAACTGACTGCCGTTGGTGCCGGGGCCGGAGTTGGCCATGGAGAGAAGGAAGGGACGGTCATGCTTGAGGTCGAAGTTCTCATCGGGGAATTTCTCGCCATAGATCGACTCGCCGCCCGTGCCGTTGAACGCGGTGAAGTCACCACCCTGAATCATGAATTGCTTGATGACACGGTGGAAGATGGAGCCTATCCAGCGGTGTTTTGTTTAGTGATGTTCTGGTGATTTTGTGTACTTTCTGCGCACACGGCCCCGCCGGAGCGGGGGAGGGGGAGGAAAATCTGAAGCCGCCGAATTGGACCACCGTACCTTTGAAGTGCAATGGCTTGCCCTGTTTGCCCACGCCCTTTTCGCCAGTGCACAGAGCCCGGAAGTTCTCCGCAGTCTTAGGAACGACTATTATTTGCCCATGGTTAGGAATCTGCGCGTAATTCCTCTACAGGGGAGTCTGCACGGTACCATCGTTGAACTGCACAGGCGGGGTAGTTAGCGAGGCTGCATAAAACACGACAGGTAAATGCTGCACAAGAAGGATGGTGAACATACCAGTTCAAGAGCAATGCGACCGGTCTTCTGTTTACCGATCTGGATATCGAAGAAAACACGGGGGCGGCCTGTGAAATTAAGCGCAATCAGTATTGTATTCTGTTGTTGAGACTGCGTCCCCCGCTTTCAAAGAGTCGAACGTACGCTCAGAGTCGGCCATTATGGCGGTTGGAATGGTTTGATGAGTGAAAAGGAAGGTAGAGAAGAAGGTTACACGGAGGGACAAGCTGTAGAAACAGGGATGGGACAAATATGAGAGGTGGAGGGAGAAGGAAGAGCTAAGGTGCGGAGGTGAACGAGGTAAAGAGGAGAGGAGAGGAAGTGGGCTGGACCAGCCTTTGGCTGCGATGCTTCAAGAAGCTTCCATCGCATCTTCTTCCCCGGTGCCCGGCCGCTTCCTTCCGCGGAATGTCGACCATCCCCTCCTCACCTACCCTCAAGCTACTACTTGTCATCAGCAGGCGCTTATATTTGGGATTTGTATTGAGCGATCTAGGATCTACCATCCGTTCATCCTCAGTGGAGCACTGGCCTGCCAGTCCGGGGCAACGCTATGATCTGGACGGCTTCTCCCGTTCCCTGCCTCAATTACCTTATCACCAACACTAGTATACAAGGATTTTATTTGCGCTGCAATTTACAGTGACGCATTGTTAGTCCGCTGGATTACTGTCTGACGTCCAATTGCACAGTATCGCTCCCATATACTGCGTTGGAAGCGATAATGCAGATTGTCCAGTGATCATTCGCAGGAAGTTGCTCCTCACCCAGTCAATAGCTACTGGTCATTAACCAACCTACCTTATGGGAGTGCTGCTGATGCCTATAAGATCCAGGTTTCATATGGTATAGTTCTGCCTAAACATGGGGCTGGATCGGTTACTATTGCAAGGATCCTGTCTCATGGGTTCTTCAGAACTTAGATTGAGATGAAGCTTACAAGCTCGCTCTAACTTGGCATCTTCGAAGCATTTATACAACCGAGTATGAAAATGAAAGATCTTCTTTTACTCTCATCTCATCGGTCTTTCCAGAATTACATACCTCTTTAGCCCCAGATTATTCGTTATGTGGACTAGCGGAACCAATATAGCTATCGTAGGCGTCAATGACTCACTGCAGCGCCATGTACTAGCTCTGTGAAACACAAGAGATCAGAGGCTCGGCCCCTCAGTCTTTGAATCAGTGCTTAGCCATCTACAGTCATAGTTCTGTTCTTGGTTTCGCATGAAGCAGCTCATGCGCCGAGTTTCTGCCACTAACATATGCCTTGTTGAAGTATTTGAGAGTCGCATGCATCTACAGGGTATCAGGCATACTGCAGCAACTATAATAGTACAAGTGCAAGGTACTTAGTCTCTTCTAGATTCATCAAGGCAGTCCAGCCAAACTAGCGCAAGGCAGATATCACCATCCCCTTCTCAGACCCTCGCGGCTGGTAGATCATCATCATCATCATCATCATCAGGCAGCTCAACAGGCTTAAGCTCCTTCAACTTCAACCCCATTATACCCTTCGCCCTCATAACGTCCAGGATATCCGGCCATGTCTTCGGTACCGTTATCTCGAAGATATAGTCGACTAAAAGATGTCCGGAATAGTACCGTCCATTAGCTGTAATGATATAGCCCATCTCTCCACTATTATTAGTCCCTATAAGGACCAGCGTAGGGTCGGTAATCCCATAGCTGCGTGCCATGTACCATTCCCCAGTACCGGGGAGAAACCATCCTTCAAAAGCTCTGGGGTCGTCAGTCCATTCGGGGACGACTTCATGGTAGCCCTAGGAAGTAACAATCAATCATACTGAAAGGCTGTGAAATGACTGTATGGAACTTCCTGTGACATACAAAGATGTCTAGAATGTCGGCCTGCTCGTCAGCCGGGGTGGAGGAGTCTGGTGCTGCTCTTGGTCTATCCATTGTAGCGGCGACTGTGTTGATGAGAGAGATATTGTCGGCAAGATCTTGGATAATGCTGAGTATGATCGGAAGGGAAAAGATTGATGCGGAAAAGTGAGTTAAATATGAGTCATTACAGAGTCTCGGTGGATGGTCGTTCCAACAAGTTATAGTTGGTTTCTTCCGAGGGAGAGGAGTAATTGTGGAAGGTATAATCATATGCTAAATTTACAAGACAAAATCACTTTTACATTGCGCTCGCATACATATCAGCTCATCTATAGCCGGCTCTTGATCTTGGTCCATTCATTTTCGCCGACCTTCTGGAAGTCCATAACTGCATCTGGTCCTCCGAAACGGTTCTGTGTCGACTTCCAGTCTCTGTCGACCGCCATTTCTGGTCTCCACCGAACAACATGCTTCAGCTCATCCTGCAGATGGCCCTCCAGTGCATCCACGATGAAGCCCCCAATAGTGGGCATTTGCATAGCCCCATTCCCAGATGCTCCCACAGCAACCAGCAGTGAAGGGTGATCAGGATGCTTATCGATCAAAAAGGCGCGATCTACGGTATCGGCATCCCAGCAGATACGGGCGAACACCAGTGGACGGTCGGCCAGATGTGGCATGGTATCCCGCAGGAAGTCCTTGACGCGAGCTTCCGCCTCGAGGGGAATTTGATGCTTTGCAAATGGGATGCTTCTGATCTCGCCTGATCTCGCCGGGTCCGGAATGAAGTTACAGTATCCAGGATGTTCGTCACAGATCTTGAGTTCGTGCTTATCCTCGTCAGGCTCCATGAAGAACCCCTTCGCAATATTGAACAGCACTGGTAGATTCTTGTACAGCTTAGCCTCCTCCGGAGTCATCTGGATGTGAGAGAGCGTCCAGGCAGTAGGACGCAGCTGTTTCTTGAAGTCCAGAAGACGGTCGCTTCCGGCACCGGCAGCTAAAATGGTTCGGTCTGCTCGATGAATGACTCCATCGGACGTTTTAGCTCCAACCACATCTCCGTTCTCGTATACTAGTGATACAACATTCCCTTGGGGAGACCCGGTGATGAAGTTGACTCCAAGACGCTTGGCTTCAGTGTAAGCAGAAATCATGGCTTTCTTGGCATGAATCCATCCGGCACCCGACTTGTTCAACCAGCCCTTCCAGCCGGGAAATTCGCCAGTGAGAACTCCTGGAGGCATTGTCTTCTGGAAGTCTTCTGCCGTCTTCAATTCGACAAAGTCTGCATCAGAACACTCGATTTCATCTTTGCGGATGTGCTCAATGAGTGCAGGGGTATGACCAGATACAATGACACCAGTCTCATGGAAGTACTGCTTGAAAACAGGATCCGTCTTCCAGGCTTTCAGAGCGGCACGTGTGCACGTCGCGAACGCAATGCTGCGCGGCGTTTCTTCACCTGCTGTCGGGGTTGTTAGGTTTGGAAAAATAGACATCAGGTGGGCACTTCAAACATACCTTTGGGCTCCTTGTGTTCCATGATTTTATTGATATCATTGCCGGCTGCGATTGCGGATGGGATTGTGTAGGGGTCTAGAACTGTGACATGCTTGTATCCGCGGCGAGCCAAATGCAAAGCAGTAGAACAACCCCAAACACCCGCTCCCACCACGAGGATGGTAGAATCATGGGTTACTGTAGAGGATGTCATGGCGACTGCCAATTCTGTTTGACTCGAGAGTATTGAGGAACTAATTTGTTGCAGTGATGTTGATGTGGACGGGCAACGAGGCCGTATTTCAACGGCGCCCTTACATCAGACGGTATCCACTGAGTGCCAACTAAATGCCAGCATTGGGCACACTGGGGACCTGGCTGGGCCTTATCCAGAGTCCATAGTCCCGGCAAGATGGAAGCAACTCAAACCAGGCCACAAAATAGTGTCCGTGCCGGGGTTCCCAATCTAGATTAGCGTCCCGGTTGGACCTTCCTTGGGGTCTTCATATCACTCCGTCTTCTCATCCATCAACCATTCATGACCCCCAGATGCTTGGGAATACTCGCGTCAATGATCGTCCGGGATTTTTCCGTGGACGCTATCAGGGTCGTCTACAGCAATGACCCACTCGCGTGCGGATGATACCGACTTCAAGCCATGTCAAACCGGCGAAAGCATGCAGCTTCTCCGCATTTTCCTCCGCCTCGGCAGGCTTAATCGATATCAACCGCTCAGATAACCTTTCGTTTGGAGCTTCCTCCATGACTTAACTTATCTGTGACTGACTATCTTCGCAATACTCCTCGTGTCTCTTCGTCTCCACCCCTACCTTATCACCTCGGTTATGCTCCATTCAGCCGGTTCTAATTATTTTGCCGCTGGCTTTCGTGAGAGCGTGGCAGACGAGAGAAGTCGAATGATCATCCCCTGTTATCGTGCTTGGCCATACTGATACGCTCGGGATAACCATCCAATCGGACGCCAAAATGGGGTCTTGGAGGGCTCTATATACTTCGACCAGCTCGTACGCAGGTCTAGCATGGTTGTGGCCGCTAGTAGATAGTAACCAGCCTTAAAAGACGCTTCAACCCCCCTCATGGCTGTCTTTCTGCTTCCCTAGTACTTTCACAAAGCCAAAATGGCTCGTTCTGATGTTATAGATACCGATGTTCCAGGAACGGTGTACCTGGTTGATGGTAGGCTCTTCCTATAAGCTACAATTAATCGGTACTGACATCGAACTCAGCAACGGGGAGCTTGAGAGATGTAGCTCATGCTGGGAAGCAGGATGTCCTCCTTATTCCTCAGCCTACATCCTTTTCAGCTGATCCTTTGGTGGGTAGCAGATGAAAGCATACCTCTTCCACACAGTTCGTACTGACCCGTAATAGAATTGGCCTCTTTACAAGAAATACTGGACCCTGTTCTTGATCTCCATGTATGCATGCGTTAACTCCTTTGGGGAGAACAACTGGGGTGCGGCATGGACAACTATATCTGATGATACGGGAGTGAGCCTGAACAATATGAACGGTGGCTCCGCTTTGAACTATCTTATGCTGGGTTTCTTCAATATTATTTGGATCCCCACAGCCATGAGGTACGGACGCAAGATTGTCTATATACTTAGTCTGTTGTTCGTCCTTGGAAGTGGTATCTGGGGTGGCTTCTATCAGGGTGTTTCGCAGTATTACATTATGATGGTGATCAACGGGATCGGAACTGCAGCCTACCAGGCTCTGATTCAGCTGACTGTATGTTACGTTTCTGGGATGCTCGCTTCCGTACGCTAACAGAGTATAGATCTTCGACGTATTTTTCACTCATGAGCGCGGCCGAATGCTGTCGATCTACATTTTCTTTCAGCAACTCGGATCTATCATCGGGCTGATCTGTGGCGGTTATATTTCTGACGGTATTGGCTGGAGATGGAGCATGCCCATCGTGTCCATAGCATGTGTCAGTGCCCTCGCACCCTAATTACTCTGCTGCAATCAGCCAGCTGAACCATTATAGGCTGTTTTGATTCTTCTATTCATCTTTACTTTTGATGACACGATGTTCCCGAGGTATCGCTTTTCGGGTGTGACACCTCAGCGAACCACCAAAGGCGAGAACGAGACTTCCCGCACTCCATCTGGCACCCCAACGGCGGAGGAAAAGGATTCAAAGGTTGAACCGCCAATGTCCGTCGTGGAAAGCCGCACTGTCGGGGAGATTGACATGCCTCCGCGAACCTACCTCCAGAAGATGTCTCCAGTTCACTACTTCAAAGACGACAACACAACTTGGTACCAGTACTTTCGACGCCCGTTCTTTCTCTTCGCGTTTCCCAATATTCTTCTAGCTGGTATCCAATTTGCGTTTGGCTGCACTGCCGGTATTGTCTCGTTTAATACCATCTCTGAGATCATGACGGAGGCACCTTATAACTGGAGCGCCGGCTCTGCTGGCCTAATCTTCTTGGCAGCACTAGTTGGTAATTTTCTTGGGTATGTATTTAGCCTGATACTCTCATGAGTAATGCTGACCCTCTTATAGCATGGGTATTGGATCACTGTCCGACTGGGTTGTCGTCTTCTTGGCACGTCGCAACAAGGGTTATAAGGAGCCCGAGATGCGTTTATGGACGTATTGTATTCCCCTTGTACTTGCCGCGGTTGGCTATTTCGTCTACGGCTGGGGTGCTACCAAGGGCCTTCACTGGATGTCCATTGCAGTTGGCCTATGTTGCATGATTGCTCAGCAGGTCTCTGCCACCAGTATCGCAACCGCCTACGCGATGGAGTGCTTTGAACAGGTAAGTCATTTACATCCGCGATCCTGGACTTGGTGGCTGATCCTCTCGAATCAGATTTCTGGTGAGCTCGTCATTGTACTGGCCTGCTGTTCATCCATAATCAATTTTGTCATCTCCTTTACGGTGCAGGATTTCATCGACGGCACCAACTACGGCTGGACATTCACCTTCTATGGTATCATGGTTGTCCTGTCCATGGCCGCGGGTGCTCCGATGATAATCTGGGGCAAGGATTGGCGGCGGAAGTGTAAGCCTCGGTATGAGAAGTTTTTGGCGGAAACAGGACGTCAGTAGGAACGTGGCCAGTTTTCTGTTTGTTAAATGACCTTTATGAATGATTGCATTATATCATTGTAACGTGTATGTTCATTAGCTAAACACACTGAGACTCTGTCAATAAGCAAGAGCACGCAACATCTAAGTTCAATGCGAACCCTACAGCCTAGGAGATTTCGCATAGTCAGCACATATATGTTGATGATTTCCAAAACACGTATATACTACCCCAACTCACTTCTCCCTAGCACCAGTAACAACCCTAACCCTCTCCACCAAAGGACTCGTATCCAAATACACCGTGAAAAACCTCATCTTATCCTCATCCACCCTCTTCCCAAAGATCGCCATACCCTGAACACTAACCACCTTCTTCTCCTCGTCACCTTTCAAAACATAGTCGATGGTCGCCTCCTGATAGATGCGATCAGGAAGAACGTCCACATGGCCAATAGTATGCTTCATGCTCTCCAGGATCGTGGACTGCTCTTTGAAAAAGCTGATAATTGCTTCATGGCCCTTGATTGGAGCATGGCCTGGGAACCTCATCTCACAGTCTGGGGTGTAGAATTTGGGGACGGCGATGTCGGGATTGAGTTCGTCGCCTAGGGTATGGTAGTCACGAAGCCAGGATTTGGCGGCGAGGAGGGTTTGGTTGTTGGTGGTGGGGTTGGTGTTGGACATGGTTTCTTGGGGTGAGATGGGTGTCAATTTGAGAGCTATCGTAGGAAATGTGGATGATGGCTCTGGTTGCTGTTGAATGTTGTATAGAGTCAGGAGTGGGATTTAGGTAGGGAGGTTTTATATGTGGTGTTGATTTGTGGTTATCATTCTCACTCAGTATGACGAGGAGTTTTGGGATGTGCTGATTGGTGTATTTTTATGTTCGTTTGTTGTTGATTTATAATGGGTTTCTTGATGCTGCTGTGCGCTTATGTCCTGGTAGTATAGGGTAGCGTCTGTAGTTCAGACGAGGCTGAAACACAATTTGCAAGACTACTCTTGGAAGAACAGGGGAGAGGTGCATACCCTCATAGAAAACATATATGAATCTATATGATGGTCATGGATATATTATTTGCTGATAAAGCAATCCCGTGCATGGGTGCTATCCGGCCGGTTTAGCTTAGAATAGAAATCATTGGTGCTTGGGTAAGACTCATCATGATTCTTATGGTAGCCATTGTGAATAGGATATGGTCCTGTAGCACCAGGTACCTCGGATGAAGAAAAGATGATTTCTGGTAGGAGACATAATAGAGCATTGTAGAGTCGTAGAAAATTAATTACTACTGAGACTGCGATGTACTTCAAGTTATCAACACAGTACCTTGGTATGCAGAGCATCGACACCCTTCGCTCTTAGATTAATAAAAGGACGGAAAATACAAGCAGCGAATCAGATAACGCAGTGGTTAGCCGCTTCAGCATCATTGGTCTAGTGGTAGAATTCATCGTTGCCATCGATGAGGCCCGTGTTCGATTCACGGATGATGCACTATCTTTTTCTTTTTGCAATTTTTCCTTGCCGCCCCAACTTACTCCTCTATTCGTCTTCTGTTAGACACATGCAACTTGAAGAACCTAACTTTATCGTAATTAACATTTCCATCGATTATGCATCTTATCGTCATATTCGGTTTCCCGTCGCATATCTTTTATCATCTCCATGAGTGAAGGTGCTTCTCCGCAGAGAAGAAACAGCCTGTCTCTCCGATTTTTTCGTTTCTTTTAGCCCCAATATATAATGTTTGCCCAATAAGGCAGGTCGACGCACACTTTAACGACTGCGTCCTTATCCGGGCGAAACGGGCGAGATCGAGAGAGCCTTATCATGGCGATGGACTGTCAACATACTAACTCCTTCCATCTCTGACAACCTGACATAATTATCATCTACTACTCGCCTGGCTATCACGCCTAAACCACAACAGTCTTCATCGCCAGTGAACGACATCATCTAGCTGCACACTGGTTGCTATCAGCCAACATTATGATGAAAGGAGACTTCATGGAGCAGTCTGTATGAGCTTGGTTAGTAACCATGATGCGAAGTTATGCCGACACTACTGCAAACCAGCCTGACAATTTTATCACGCCCTCTTCAAAGATGAAAAAATGATCATAGAAAAGGGAATACATGGTTGAGATTATGGATCTCATCTAGTCCGACACGTGCAGACTTCTTAATGTTCAAGCTTGAACCGCAGCGAATTGTTTAGCGATCACCATCATGTACCTATATACATGCATCTGCATCCTAAATGGTCACACCCACCTCCCGAGCAAAGTACCGGCAAGACTTTCTTCATTGAGTAAGACCAACAGTCCGTGCACTTGCTTTATCTACTCCAGATACTACGAAGTTGCATTTGAAGGGCTTCCATTTGTCTGGACTCAGGGTCTCACCGGCATTAATACCACTGGCTAGATGCCGGAATCACTCCTTGCACCTTTACCGAAATTATCTGTCGAGCTGTTATGCAAAACTCTTCTTCCGCAAAATGATAGTCTGTGATAGGACCACATGATGCATTATGATAGCCACTAATAGCCATCAAATATTGAGCTATTATCGGTACTTGCTTTTCTCCGCTTGGCAACCCCGCATGAAGAACTCCAACGGGTTGTTATCTCTGAGCACTCTCCTGCATTCCCGAGCGATAAGCCTCGTTTCTAAGCGTCGCTGAAATGGAGGAGAAGTACAAGGGGGGAGATACTGCGGGACGTGAATATAATGATAAGATCTGTGTGTCCCACGCTTCGGTGGCTGCATCACGACGGGGAACTTGACTTGCCTTAACATCAAATTTAGAATGTCGAATGGTCAGAGTGAGCAGGAGCCCATCTGGGCTCCGGGAACTGTCACCCTCGAAGATAGTAAGAGCTATTTCTGATGAGTGCATGTACAGGACTGACCACAGGAAGTACACGGCAGTAGTGTGGTCCTATTCCCTACTCCTTCTGACGACCCGGATGATCCTCTTAACTGGTCCAAGGCACGGAAGGCTCTCAACTATACTTTTGTTAGTCTATTTGTACTCTTTACCTTCGTGGAGCTAGACATTGGCTTTACCGCATGGGGTCCGATGGAAACAGAGCTTGGCTTCACGGTAGATCAGCTCAATGCCGGTACAGCGACCAATTACGGTGGTCTTGCTGTGGGGTGCTTCTTCCTGCTTCCTCTCGCTCGAAAATATGGCCGCCGCCCTATCTATATCTTTTCCTCGGCGTTGCAGCTGGCTGCGAGCGTGTGGAATGCCAAAACCTATACCTTCGGTGACTATATCGGAGGGATGCTGATCTCCGGCCTGGGGGGTGCTATCAGCGAGATTATCGTACAGATGACTGTCGCAGATCTTTTCTTTGTCCACCAACATGCCACCATGAACGGATTATTCGTACTCTTCCAGTCAGTCGGAGCGTTTCTGGGACCTGTTGCCTCAGGATACGTCGTGGAATCCCAAGGCTGGCGCTGGGGATGGTGGTGGTGTGTGATATTCTTCGCCGTCATGCTAATTTGTGTGATCTTTCTTTTCGAAGAATCGAAGTTTCTTCCTATTCTGAATGCCCAGGAAGTTATTCCAGATGTGCAGACATCCGGTGTAGAAGAACCTGAGTGCTCTCAGGCTTCTAAAGGAAGACTGTCATCTGATGACAAGAAGGGATTTGAACGGTCCGTGGAAATATGTGCCACACCGCGGCCTGGAAGCGAGCCAAAGACCTACCTTCAGAGAATGGCCCTCGTCACACCGTCTGATGAATCTATATGGCCTCATGTGTGGCAGCCAGTCGTCATTCTATTTACTTTTCCAGCAGTGACATATACTGCACTTACATATGGCTCCACCCTGTGCTGGTTCGCAGTCATGACATCTCTACAAGCGACATATATGATTCTTCCGCCATATAATTTTAGTTCAGTCGGAATCGGTTTGATGAATGTTGCCCCATTTATTGGCAGCCTGTTAGGCTTTCCAATCTCAGGCTATCTGAGTGACAAGTCCATCCTTTGGCTTTCGAAGAGAAACAACGGCATATACGAGCCGGAGATGCGACTTTGGCTATCGCTCCCTATAATAGCTTTGGGTCCAGGATCTATACTGATGTTTGGACTTGGGCTTGCCTATGTACGTTCCTAGTACCCCATACATCTCCAGTATTGTGCTAATTTCATCATAGGGCTCTCACTGGGTTGTACTAGCAGTTGGCTATGGTTTCTTTGGGTTTGTTCTTTCTTGCAGCAGTGGTATCTCACTATCATATCTTATGGATTGCTATCAGGATGTGAGTTCATCGAATGTCCTCTTTTGAGTAAGTTTAATCTGGCATCTAACACAAATGTATGATAGATCGTTGGCGACACTCTGGTCGGCGTAGTATTCATGCGAAATGTGATCGCTGTCATTGTTCTTTTCACTTTGACACCTTGGGTTAATGGAATGGGTATGCAGAACCTGCATATCTTGATTGCAGTCGTGGCATTTTTCATCTATTCGATTCCAATCCCCCTATTGATATGGGGAAAGAGGGCCCGGATTGCTACTGCATCGACTTATCGGAGGATGGCAGAGAATCAGAGCGATAATCGGGTGGTCTGACATACAAGCTATCTTTGAGACACGAGCTTGTAGACTATAGGGATCTGTATATGTACACAGGACCATTCGCAATGTAGCAGTGCAATACCAATTATTTGATAAACTTACATTATGGCATTGTATAAGCTCTTAGTCTGGGATAGGATATTGCTCAATTCAGTTCAATATTTACTCTCGACTTGAAATTCATTGGACATTGACCTTTCAGTGTATCAAGTAGAATTGGCCTGCATCCCAACGTACAACTTCCAATTACCCAAGCTTCCACAACTCACCCCCAACACCACATACTCCCTCCCTACAACTCCATCCCACCCAACTACCACCCACTACTTCGAACTAAACGCACAACTCCCCATATCCAACCTCACCACCTCCGCCTCCGGCCTAACATCGAAATCAAAGATATCCATCGGCACTCCCAGCGTCGTACACGCATTCGGAATATCCACCAACCCCGCAATATGTCCCTGCACCGGCGCACAGCTCAACAACAAATAAATCTGATAGTCACTATATCCATACCGCCTCAAATACTCAATCACCCTCAAACAAGTCTGCCTATACGCAACAGTCGCATCAAGATAATGCTGCTTGCCATTCTCATCGACCGAGAATCCCTCAAACGTGAGATATCTCCCCGGACCGAACTGAGGCTCCACAGGCCCCGGGTGGAAAATGGGAGACTTCATGGCCATCTTCTCCATACCCCCTTTGAGGACAGTGAACTTGAGCGTGATTATCCCTGCCATTTCAATCGCCCCGCAGAAAGAGATCTCTCCGTCACCTTGGCTGAAGTGTAAATCGCCCACGGAAAACTTCGCCCCGGGGACGTGTACGGGGAGGTAGACCTTTGAGCCTCGCGAGAGGTTCTTGATGTCGCAGTTGCCGCCGTGTTCGGGGCGGCCCTGTACCTTTGTGAGTATTTGGGTGGGTGTAGGGGGAGGATGGCGATGGGGATGGGGGATGGGAATAAATACAGGAATAGTCCTCGCACCCTCCTTCGCTATCTTCGCCTTCAATTCCTCATCCGTCGCACTACCGGCATGTGCACTCCTCGGCTCCGGAGGCTTCGCAACGTCCCGTCCAAGGGTAGTATTCGCCGCGATGAGCTCCCCTTCACGACGATTCCACTCCGCCAGGACCTCAGCCGATGGAGCGCACCCCAGTATACCGGGGTGAATGAGGCCCGCGAATCGGACGTGCGGGATGTGGCGCGAGGAGCAGAAGATGCCTTCGAAGTCCCAGATGGCTTTTGCGCTGCACATATCCACGTCCATCAGCTATCTTTACTCTCCCACACAGACCGAGTTTAGAAGGGAAAGAGAAAGAGGATATCTTACGCTTCCGGATAAATCTCATCCAAAAACCCACCCCCATTACTCTTCTCAAACACACCCGTGAATCCCCACGGCTGGTCCTCGAAGGGCTGCACATCTTGGATCTCGACCAGGAGGACATCGCCGGGCTCTGCGGTCTCGATTTCAAATGGGCCCGAGAGGTAGTGGATCTGAGTGAGGTCGACGTTCTTGATGTCGTCGGCGGAATCGTTGTTCTTGATTTGCCCGCCGGTCCAGTCGAGACATTCGATTTTGACTACTTCGTTGTTGGCGATTTTGGCGTAGGAGGGGACTGCCAAATTTCATTATATATCAGAGGGGTGAGTGGTAGAGAGGGGTGGAATAGTACCGTCTGGGTGCCATCTGTTCTATAGAGGTGAGATGGATGTTAGTGCTACTACTGAGCTTCTACACGGTTTATGACTTACGTGGAGGCCAGGCTGCTCCCAAGCTGGCTTGTTCAGATCGACTGAGAGAGCGGTGCGGATCTTCTTGTGGCCCATGGTGAATTCGTGATGATACTGATGATGTTTGTGATACTAATTGATAGATGAATGAATAGGTGGGAAGAGGTAAGATGGGACAACTTCCCCTCAACGTGGGAACCACTCATTAATACTACCAGATAAACCAAACTAAAGCGATGCAACCAACCCCTCAATTCATGGCACCCGAAACTTCCCCTCACGAACTGGTCCAACTTTGTTTATCACCAGACCGAATAGGAATTACGGAAATCCCCCCCTGCTCCGGTTATCTTATCAGGGCTGACGCGCTTATCAGCGGGGAAAAGGATATGCTTTGATTCCACGGCTGTCTTTTGAGTCTATGATAACGATAATAATCCCGAACCTTATGAAATAAGGTGCGTGCAATGCATGCATGCACTATGCAGAAAACCTAAGTGTACAGTCTCGGTTTCCATAATCAACTTTTGTACGTTGATTTCCACTCCTCCGAACAACTCATCCCTTGGCTGCTCGCTTACTCGAATTTCCGACCCGGCAACTCGGGCGCCTTGGGCTTTTCCTCCTCTGGAGCCTTGTTCAGCTGGTCGATATTGTCCAGCGACAGGCGCAGGAACTCGTGCTTGTTCTTCCAGGTCACCTGGGTCTCTGCGAAGCCCTCCTTCTCGGACGGGGCCGGCGGGGGGTCTGTGACCTTGGTGACGAGGTATGCCGTGGCGGCTTGCGCAACGCCGTACAGGAGGACTCCGATGAAGGGAGTCTTCAGCACAATTGTAAAGGCAAAGGCAAAACCAAACAGGACGCCCTGGCGGTCGGCAAACCAGCGGTTTCTCTGCTCGGGGGTGAAGGGAACGCGGCTAAAGTAGGGGTCGAGCTGGTTGTCCATTAGGATGGTTTTATCGATAATGTGGCTGAGGACTTACCATCTCACGCATCAAAGTACGGGAGGCGTAGAAGCTGTGCAGGAAGGAAACAACGTAGCTCTTCGGGAAGATAAAACCGGCTCCGAAGATGACAGCCGCAGGGGTAGTGCCCACAGCATCCTTGAAGGCGAAGAAGGAAGCTGCTGGAGTGGCAAAGCGTCCGACAACAGGCACAAGCGACAAGATGGACACGCCCAGGAGCAGGGCGGCTCTCTGGCCAGACCTCCTAAGAAACACCATGATTCTTTCCTTGGCCGACTTCTTCGGCGCAGTGGACTTGACCTTGCCCTCACCGGCGTTGTACATGGAGAGGTTCGGGTAGTACATGGCACGCAGAGTGCTCGGGTCCTCTGCCTTGTGCTTATCGACATAGGTCGTGTCTACCCATTTCAACGATTCCATGAAGCTAATCAATCAGCACGTGCACACAATTCAAGAGTCGATTGTCTTACATTTCATCCAATGTCGGGGTGATGTACCGCATCAACGACATGATGAGGAAGGGGACATGAAGGACAGACTTGGAGAGGAAATCGAGACCCTCAATGAGGGAATCATCCCAAGTTACACTCTCGAGGTCGACAATCCATGAGATGAACCAAAGTCCAATCTTAAGTGCAATGATCTATAGCCGCTTTGTCAGTCTCGAAGCTGTCAAGCGGGTAGCTAGAAGATAGTCACATACAGGAATCTGGATGAGGAGCTCGACACCCACACCGACAGCGACAGCAAAGGCAGCCTGCCGGAAGTGGTCGTATTTGAAGAGATCGGGGTTCCGCAATGCGCGGACGGCTGTCCAGCTAAGTTAGCAGCGGGTAAAGTAGTACTCGTGCCGTGTTTCCCCAATGAACCATGCGGGTAGCTAGCCAGCCATGGCTGTCGATCATGGAACTAGGGAACTCGGCCGTGCTGAGCCATTGACATTCAGCACCACGCAGACCCCTATAATCCCACATCTGCCGCGCCCCCTTTTACGCAAGGCGAAAGAAGTTGCGCAGCCATTGGCTTCTGGAAGTCCAAGAACTCGAGCAGGCAAAAGGGGCCGGACTTACTGGCAACCACCGTCAGCTGAGCACCGCGAATCACGGCGTTATGATCGAAGTTTCCCATGATGCACACCCAAGAGACTCTCGAGTACTTCTGAAGATCAGGGACCGTTTAGCAGAAAGGGAGCATCGTACTATTTATAGTTGTGCGTTGGCTGCCGAGGGGGGAAACAGCCACAGGCAACCACATATTGCTTAGGGAATGACGCGCGGGTACGATAGCGATCAATTCCGACTGGCTGAGCAGCCGCCAGACGCCAGGCCATCAGCCGCCGGCCCCACTCTGCGGCGTAGGGCAGGTGACCGGCGCATGACTGCCTCAGGCCACGATCAGTCCCCGCTGGATTAGACCCGATTGGGGCAATTCCATACTTTTGCCATGAATTTATTGAGTTCGAACCAAGTTGGGAAGGGTCACTCGCTGGGAATTCCCCCGTCCATTATCTCACCACCCCAGCTTCTCGTCTCTCGTTTGACCTCATTCCACACCCCCCCCTGCTGATCGTCTTTCCTTATCCCTTCCTATTCGCATTCACTTGCTATCTTTTCCATCTATATCCTACCTAATCCTGTCCCTTATACATTTTTCAATGTAATCCATCTCCTTTCCCACCTTCCTTAATCCCCATGATCGAGAATGTCTGATACCTCGGATGCGCCACTACCCCAGACCCAATCCCTTCGCCGGTCTGCGACTCTTCCTTCCAAACTGATTACCCGACCCCGGCGGCAATCCGAGTCGCTGAGGCCCTCGGAGAACGATCTCTTCTACCACCCTTCTGCCAAAGTTGTCCATTTTGCCCCTAGAGCGCTCGCCCCGATCCCCTCCAGTACTGCGCCCTCCGACTTCGACTATCCCGTTGATACCGTTGAGACGCTTCCTTGGAGGTCCCCTACTGAACGAACGGTCGCTCTCGGCCCGCTTCGCCTGGAGAATGTCCACGGCCTTACTGTATTCCTCAAGTGCGGCAATGTCGTCCATGCCATCCTCAAGAACTCGCAATGTTGGTGTGTCGACGGCGAATCAACCTTTGTCTTGCGCATTCGCCCTCTGACGTACTATCGCATCGAACTCCCCGCCGACACCGACGACAACAAGGTCTTGGTCACGGAGATGAAAAATGTTCTGCCCAGGGTCCTCCGTTACGAAGTGACACCATGCCCCTTCAAGAGAGGTTTCACCGTTGAGATACCAGAGGAGGCTAAAGCGCCCCGGAGGAAGAGGGCATGGCGTCCCAAAGGTCGTCGCGAAAGTGCCCCAATCAGTTCACTCTACTACCATGGACTGTCCAAGTCAAAGGAGGACCTCACAAAAGACCCAGTCAGTGCCGGAGAAGACACGGATGGCGAGGCGACGGATGACAGCGGCTTTTCGATCAAGGCCAGTAACAGTGCCAGTAACAGTACTATCCTGGAGACTATTCCGGATGACAATGAAACTCCGGAAGCGCCTCAGACATCCGAACAAGTGGATTTACCTAAGCGCCCAGACCCAGAACCCGAACAGAATTTCCAGACCTTGCTGGCAAGGTTTGAAGACAATCCCAAACAACAGGTTGATCCTGAAACAACGTTTTCATCGAGCGTTGAATCCTTCCACTCCCTTGGACCATCGTTATCTACATTACCCGAACTTGACGCCTGCTCTACGCCTACATCGACCGAGGGTACTGAGCAGTTCCAATCTGACCACAGTGACACTTATTCGCCGCCTGAAGAACAGCCCTTCCAAGAAACTGAGCGCTCGAGAGACAGACTATCAGTGTATGTTGACTGCTGGGATGACTTGTCGTCCGCATCGCACGATATGCCTGGAACCTTCCACGAGCGCGAAATCAAGCCGATTCCGACCAAAGTCCCTGACGTTCAACGTCCAGTCGCACCTCGCACCGGAAGTACCGACTCGAACCCCAACCTCAGCAGCATGAGCATTGAATTCCGCCGACGCTCCAAAGCATCCCTTGAGCGCGAAGTGTCCCCCATGCCACCTGCATCGTCTTTGGCAGTTGCAAGACCCGAGAAACATGATGCGGCGTCGCTTATTCATAAAACCGCCACACTTGTCCTGGTTCCCCCGATCCAGCTACTTGTGGTTCTCATCCACATTGCCGCGCGCATTGTCATCGGCCCAGCCTTGGAATCCGCGATGGGGGAACTGAATCGGAAGATCGAGTATGAGGTTGACCATGCCCAGGACACTGTGGATGACTTCGACTTGCCTCTCCCTGACCGATCCGGGGTGTCTGCGGATGAGAACTCCAACTGATTTGCATCAAACCATTTGTTTGGCCATCTACATTCATTCTTCACTTTTTGTATACTCCTGTACTCTGCATCTGATGACACTTGCGATTCCCTCTGATGTCCTTTCTTTCCCCACGATGACGCATTTGTATGATCTCATTGTTTCTGTTTTATTAGTCGACATCTGTACGGTTGTGGGCGGACTGTCTTTGATTCACCCCGGACAAGCACCATAATTTGATCCCCTGTATTCTAGCGAAGTAGTTAATCTATTGATACTATACCATCAGCTGAAAACTTAATCCCATTCAACATATCTACAACATATACATCGAAGCATAATCCCTTATGTCAAATAAAACTTGAAATAGAATAGTCCCACAAACGCCCATAATGCATCCATCACACCACCCTTCATCATCCCCCCACACAAATCACTAAGCAAATCACCCCTTAACAACCTTTCCCCCCTCCTTCTTCCCCTTCGCCTTCCCCTTCTTCCGATCCCTCTTCTTCAACCCCGTCATCCCAGCCTTACACACCTCCGCATACCTCGCATAGAACGCCTCCAAGTCATCAGGGCTCACGACCGTCGAGATCTTCACCTTCGATGCTGCCGATCCCACCTTCGATACCTTCTTCTTGGCCTCGGCTGTCTTGGGGTTCGGGGCGTTGGTGTTGCCGTCGGTCGCGCGGATGAGGATGGATGGTTGCGCCGGAGACTCGGTGGTGGTGTTGAGGAGGGGCTTCTGCGTGAGGTACACGGATCCGCGGGTTTTTTGGGATGTGGTGTTTAGGAGGGTGGTGAGGGAGGTGAAGAACTATTTTATTTTGGAGAAGTGGGTGTTAGTTGAGTGATATGTTGGGTGTGGTGATGTGGTGGTTGTGGGGGAGAGGGAAGTACCTCCTCGTGGCCCAGGTGTGCGGGCATTTCGGCGGTTATGTTGTGATGGAAATAGTATCAGGTTTGGGTATGTAGGATGTAAATATGACCGTAGTGCTGAAATCAAGTTTCGCAGCTCACTTGGCAGTAAAACGCAAACCAACTATAACTACTCAGCGATAGTAACAGCTAAAGACCAGCCAGCGGAGATAAACGCATCCACCCCAAAGTCAGTTTAGGTTGGCTCTCACCGCCTCCGTCCTCCGCCTCCGCGGGACCAATTTTGAATCGGCATTAAAAAAAGTTCAGATCCAACCCTCAATCAACATCAACACTTTTATCTGGAAAATAGGATTCACACCATGCGACGTCCTAGACATAATACGACCTCTTTACCGAGGGACCTGCGCGCAGAGCTCGGAATCAGAGATACCTACGGCGAGAAGAAGAATAAGCGCAACGGACCGGCATTGCGGAAAGAGCGCCGTCGAGAAGAACGCTCCGGGAAGAAGCAGCCTCAGCAGCAGCAGCGACAGCAGCACCACCAGCGGGGACCGCCTCCGAAGAAGAAGGGTCGGTATGATGACGACGAGGATGAGGATGAGGATATGGGGGACTTTGATGAGTTTGATTTAGATGAGGGGGATGATGATGAAGATGCCGGTGATGTTATGGCGAAACTTGCTAAGGCGAAAGCGGCGAAGGGGAAGGCTGCCGCTCCTGCTTCTGCTAAGGAGGAGAAGAAGCCGAAGTCTATTATGAAGAAGGCGAAGGTTGAGGAGAGCTCTGAGGAGGAGGACGATATTGATCTTGATGAGGATGAGGATGAGGATGAGGACAAGGTGACAATGCGACGCCCCGTATCGAAGACGGTTCAATCGAAGCTCGAAGAAGACGACGCGGAAATTGCTGCACTGGAGAAGAAGCTCGGTCTGAAGAAGGGCAAGAAGCTCCCTAAGTCTTTTGAGGAGGATGGTCTGGGTGATCTGCTGGGCGATTTGGATGAGGATTCGGCGGATGAGGGCCGCAAGCGCAAGAGAGAAGCTGATGAATGGCTACGGAGTAAGCGGAGAAAGGCGCAGGGCCTGGAGGAGCCTGAAGAGGAGGATTCTGAGGAGGAAGATGATAGCGATATGGGAGATGGGCTTGATGGCTTTGACGACGATGAGTCTATGGGTGATTTCGATGAAGATGAGGAAGAAGAGGAGGAAGAGGAGCCGGCTCCTAAGAAGAAGGAAAACCCCTACGTCGCTCCAGTCAAAGAAGCCGAAAGCCGTCCCCAGAAATACATTCCTCCTTCGCTTCGCGCTGCCTCTAACTCAGAGGATGAGTCCCTCGTTCGCTTGAGGAGACAGGCTCAAGGTCACCTGAACAAGTTGTCGGAAGCCAATATGGTCTCTATCCTCGCGGAGTTCGAGAAACTCTACCGGGATCATCCTCGTCAGAATGTTACTTCGACCTTGATCTCTCTGCTCTTCGGGTTGATCTGCGAGAGATCTGCTCTGTCGGATACTTTCATCATTCTACATGCGGGTTTCATTGCTGCAGTGTACAAGATTGTAGGTACGGACTTTGGCGCGGAGATCGTGCAGAAGATCGTCGAGACCTTCGATGCCCGCGGCGATGAACGAGGCAAGTTCGAAGGAAAGGAGACCATCAACCTGATCTCTCTCCTGTCGCAACTATACAACTTCCATGTCATCGGAAGCCCCCTTGTCTTCGACTACATCCGGCTCTTCCTAGAAGAAATCAACGAGGAGAACACCGAACTGCTCCTCAAGATTATCCGAAGTACGTTATTTCCATCACTCCCTTTTAAACCTTATACTAACCACACCAGACTCCGGACCCCAACTCCGACAAGATGACCCCTCCTCTCTCAAAGACATCGTCCTTCTCATCCAGCCCGCCGTCGCCAAAGCCGGCGAAGCCGCCCTCTCCGTCCGTACGAAGTTCATGATCGACACCATCACCGACCTCAAAAACAACAAGCTCAAATCCAACGTGAACGCCAGCATCAGCACCGAACACATCACCAAGATGCGCAAGATCCTCGGTTCTCTCAACAATACACGAGTCATCCGGGCCTCTGAACCTATCAGCATTTCCCGCGCCGATATCCACAACTCCGAGAAGAAGGGCAAATGGTGGCTCGTCGGCGCCAGCTGGCGCGAAGATCCCCTCGAATCCGCCCGGAAGGAACTCAACGGCCTCCCTACGAACAACACTCACGTTGAGGTCTCAGACAGCGACTCCGAGCCCGACCTCGTCAACATCGCCAAAGCGCACCGCATGAACACCGACGTCCGCCGCTCCATCTTCGTCGCCATCATGTCCGCAACGGACTACCAAGACGCACACGTGCGCCTCCTCAAACTCCGTCTCAAGCGCGCCCAGGAATTCGAAATCCCCCGCGTCCTTACCCACTGCGCCATGGAAGAAGAAGCCCACAACCCCTACTACACGCTCATCGCGAAGCGCCTCTGTGGCGAAATGGGCCGTCGCATCAAAGTATCCTTCATGTACACGCTATGGAACATCTTCAAACGCATGGGCGAGTCCGGCGACATGGACGATAGCGATGACGACGACGCATTCGACGACGAAGACGACCAGAACAAACTCGAAATGAAATCCATCGTCAACCTGGCGAAGATGTACGGGTCGCTTATCGCAGACGGGACGTTGAATCTGGGTGTGCTCAAGATTCTGAACTTCGCGTACCTGCAGCCGAAGAGCAAGGCCTTTGTGGAATTGCTTCTGATTAGTGTGATTCAGCAGTCGCAGAAGCAGAAGAAGAAGTCGAAGTCGAAGTCGAAGGATGAGGATGAGCAGGATGAGAAGGCGCTTCTGGAGATTTTCCTGCGCGCGAGAGAAACGCCGCAGATTGTTAAGGGGTTGATTTTCTTCTTGAGGAAGGTGGTTGCGAAGACGGATATTGTGCCGTCTGGGAAGGAGTTGAAGGTTGTTAAGTGGGGATGTAAGGTTGCGGTGGATGCTTTGAAGGTTGTGGTTAAGGAAGGGGATGCGGAGTGATGATGTACATATGTGTTTTGTGCAGTGTGGGTATGGCGTTTTGGTCATGGTGTTGAGGGGGTAAAAGCTTGCATATATAGATTCATTTCTTTTGCATTTCATTCGAGGAATGAATGTTCAGCATGATGTTGAGATATCGCATTGTTGCGTGTTTGGGTATCAAATAATGTACATGGTTGACTGTATGAATAGTACTATAAGATTAGTTCCCATTCCATTCCCACGTGCCATTTACCTGCACTTTGCATGTATGAACGGTCCGATTGGGAGAGACCGTCGACGTCAAGGCCTACTTCTAAAGCAGGAGCAGGCTCTCCTAGATCCACCTCCCAAGCTAGTCCCCGAAAGACTCCGACCACATCCCCCGGTTCAAGGTCGGGAATGTGAGTCGCTGCATGCCGGGACTTCTGTTGTCGGGGTGGTCCGAGAAGGAGCACGTTCTTGGTCGGAGTTTGGAATCGAGTATCTGTCGCGTTAGTTTCGGAAGGATCCACGGTGTGGCCCTGTGCGAATGCCAGAGCGCCGCAACTCGGCAGGGCCGATTGACGAACACAGGTTATCCGGATGGCTATCGCGTACGTGTCCAGCGAAGGTGGACCCGTTCTGCGGTGATGGCTCGGACTCGTTTGTTGCTGTTCCCTTTTTGCGCCCATTTCCAGAATCCAGCTGCGCACTTCCGCCGCCATGCCACCAGGAACATAGTTGTGCGCTGCAGAACGATGACGGCCGCGCCGTCGGAGTGCACGAGAGGAAGGCGAGAACGGCGTGGGGATGCCAGTGGGATCGTCGTCCTCCTGAGGGGAGGGAGAGCGAGGCAGGACGAATGCTGGTGTTCGCCGCTGTGAGCTCGGGACTGGAGTTGCGGTCGAGGGTGGTATTGCGGTGTTGACTTGAGTCTGGCTACTTGGGGGTAGTTGCGACGCGGATAGCACGAAACGACGGGGTTGAAGAGAGGAGGGGTTGATGCTTGCTGGTGTTACAGGATGTGGTGTTTCCGCAGGCCGCTCTGGTTTCCGGAACCCCGGATCTGGACGTATTTGCTTTGGTGTTTGAAATTGTACCGATAGAGTTGTCTCGTTAGCTGCTGCTGCTGCTGGAGGATCCGGGGAGGATGACAAGATCCTGTCGGCGGGTCTCCGTCGTTGAACGGAGGGAGTGTTATCAGCGTCATTGTGCCCAGAGACTCGACGCCTCTTCTGCCGGTCTCTTATAGATCCGAATACTTCATCGAAGGCGGCGTCGAGCTCCCCTGGCTCTGGTGGAGAGCTGCTCTGAAGCTCGCCTTCGTTAGGTGCAGCGTCATCGTCTGGCTGGTCCGAGTCTTCAATGAACTCTTTCGGCCGAGGGGTGGGTACCTGCTCTCTCTCACGTTTTATATTACGTGCAGACGGAGCAGGGGTAGCATATGCACAGTCATTCTGGTCAATGGAGTCGATCTCTTGAGATGGCCTCGATGAAGCAGGTGTTTGTGAGAGGAAGAACCGCGGAGTTGACGCGAATTGCGGGCCTGCGCTGCGACGGGAGGAGGCACGAAAGGGCGTCTAGACGGATTTAGCTAGGGCTATATGGATATTGACAGGGGTGCGCGTACAGCTACCGGGGGCATTTAGAATAAGCTAGCGGGGAGGAGCAATTGTGCGACAACATATCGTGACGCGTGAGTAGATAAGTTGATGCATCCACCGTGATATCATTTGACTAGTTATTATCATTCCTCTTTTGGAAAGCGGTCACTTGAGTAGCTAGTATCGCCTAGTCCCAATATGGTGTTGATCTGCGATGTGATCTGCTTTGTCTGATTGGCTGTTCCATATCCCTCGCTGTAAGCATCGAGCATCCCAGCATGACCAAGCATTGCGCTTTTATCCAGATAGTGATTATGGTGGGCTACAACTTGAGCAGGAACAAAGTATGTTATAGTAGTGATAGTCATAACTTTGTGTGTTGTTTTTAACAAATGACAGTCATAATCCTAATTACTCCATTAAACACAGTAGCCGCCCTGCTCCATCACCCAACAGTATAGTCAATTGCATCACTCTTTTTGCTCGACATTGGTATCCGGGGACACTGATTTCCGTCTGCAGTATTCCGTAAGCTTAACTTCATAATTGCAAGTGTGTGTTTAGAGGGACACTGACTTATTGAACTCCTCAATCATGCTCGCCATATTCCCCGCACCACTGGATCGTCGGTCTGGATGATCGTTTGCCGAACCCCCAAAGCTCCCTAACAGTGAGTTGATTGCTAGCTCCTCATCAGCATGTATTTCATTGAATAGTTGACAAGGGTAGTATCAACTCACCCATTTGATTCCGGTGGCGTTCCTCTTCCGCGAGTTGCTGCTGCAGGGAGCTCCGGCGTCGATCGTGCTTGAGGTGGCCGTACTTCTGAACGAGATCCATAGTGATATAGTTTTGTAGTAGTTCTCTAGTAAAGGTTAGGTGAAGAAAGAAGCTAGATTCCGCAGCAATTTGGTGGATAATATCGGGGTTTATAAGTGTAGTTGAAAACCCCCCCTTTCGACGTCATTACATCATGGGTTCCCCTTGCACCATCATATGATTGCACAAATAATGTGCTCTCCTTGAGAGAGGGACTAACAGGGACCTATAGATTTGTAAGATAGACCAGCAGATCGCCAAGGGATGCGTCATAGTTAATTGTGTCGCCATCCAGGCATCGACCTATAATAGTCCCTATGCTGGGATCTGGGCATTGCTTGGCGTCACCGGCTGTACCAGGCAACTAACTGGCAACTGGTCAGTGCGATTGCCGACGCTGCATGGATGGCCACCTGCAGGTCTGGTTTGAGGTCAATGCTTTTTGTGACAAGTTGGCGATCACTCGGAGTACTATGGTCAAAAGTACTTGGCAGGGGAGGTGTCTTGTGTTTGTAGTATAGTGGTAGTATCAAGCAGCCGTTGTATCCGGGTGGGCATACTTCGCCGGGTCACTCGTATAGTAGTGCATCACACAACTATGTCTCAAGTCACACTCTCTCCAAGTGATATATACACCAATCAAGCCATCTTACTGTACATCTGAACAGCCACAATCTATTTCATCCCCTCCAAGATCGGAATCAAATCCACCAACGACCGAATCACCACCCCCTCCTTCCCCCCACCTTCATCTCGGGGAACATAAACTCCCTTCCACCCCGCATCAACAGCAGCACGATAATCCTTGTCATAATCATCGCCCACATGAACACGCACCCAATCACCATCCTCCTCACCAGCCCCTACCAGCCTCTTCGCCTGCCGCTCAGCCACGTCAAAGATCACCGGACTAGGCTTCTCCTCTCCAGCCTGATAACTCGTGATCACGAGATCAATATCATCAACCTTTTCTCCATACTCACTAGTGGAAATACTAGAAGGATCCTCGAAACCCGGTAATTTCAAACTCTCGATTTCCTGATCCGCTCTTCCCTTCCCTACACTCAGCCCCAATGACTGGAGCACAGCAGGCACCCTATCATCTGAGTTGGAGAGGACTCCCACAACTATCCTCTCAAAGACACCCAGTTTCTGACCGGTGGTTTTGATTTGCCTGAGGCGTTGGAATAAATCGCCCGCGTCGTTGTAGAGCGCGTAGCCTTGCGAGCTTGCGAAGCGATCCAGTAAACCCTGGATTAGCTCATCTGGTAATTTTGTAGATTTATCTGCTAAGACCTGTTGGAACGTGGTGCGTATGAGCTCCTCCCACCACTGCCTTGGTCCGCCGTATTGGCCGCGGATGGCATCCGCGCGGCCATAGTTCGGTCGGTGGCGGGATTGCGCTTTGTAAGCGGATTTGAAGGTTGGTTGAAGGATGGATGGTGTGAGCTCAGGAGATTGTTGAAGTTTGAAGGAGTTAAAGGCGGATATGTACTGTTCGGGAATGGGGTGGCGCGGATGAAAGATTGTGTTGAATGCGTCTATGGTTAGGAGGAGGGTGCGGGGGCGCATAGTTGGTTCCTGGATATGTCGGGGTTTTGTTTGGGTTGTGATGTTCGTGGTGTTTATTGATTTGTTTGACTGTGAATTATGCAGAATGCGACAATATAATGTGTATATGATCGATGTCGATTAGTGTTCGTTTAATTCAATTTGAAGGAACAATGATGAAAGAGAATGTTGGATGGAGATGATCGGCCTGAGCAGGAAGGAGCTGTATCGGTGTTTGATAACATCCTGTTATCGAGTCAGTCATGTGACTTCTAACTATAAGAGTAGGGGATGTTCATCATCAGAGGGCTGAAAGAGCAGGAGAAAAACGATAATTCATTTGCATTTACTACCATAATTGTTGGAATACTTAGGCTATGACTCTTCCATAAACTAAGCAGTTTGGCAGACAAGATCATACATCCTTCTTGGAGGAATTATACTTTAACCTTCCATCTCCACTTCCAGTCCAGCAGAGCCCATCGAGATAATATCAGACCAACAAGCCCGACCAAGAGCACGGCCGAGTAAAACCCGATAAGGACCTGAGGTGTGGTCGATTGCAACAAGTCGCCTCCGACGGGAACAGTCAATAAAACCCCGAACGAAGCCACAGAGTACAGGGTACCGTAAAACCGACCATACTCTTCAGTCCTGCAGAGCTGGCCAGCACATACAGGAGCAAGGGAGATCCAACCCCCAGAGCCAAATCCAAAGATAGCCACCACAGTGTACAGGGTCTTCACATCGTGAGAGCCAACAGGCAGCCAGACCGTTGCCATTATGATAAACGTGAGCAGCACTAGACAGAGCAGGATGTTGAAACGGCCGATCTTGTCGGCCGCAAATCCGGGAAGGACTCTTCCTACTAAGCCAAAGCAGTTCAGGACTGTGAGCGAGTAGAACTGCACGTCTGTTGGGAAGCCAGCAAAGCGGACATATGTTGGTAATAGCGCCGCGCAGCCGAAGATGATGAATTCGAAGGAGAAAACTGCCACAGTCAAGAAACAAAGCCGAGGAGATCGAAAGGCCCGAAAGTCGATTGTCGCTTTGCTGTTGCTGCTAGCTGGTAGGCGGCCTTTGACCAGGATGATTGCTGCTGCATAGCATCCGAGAGCTATAAAGGCGATAACGCGGATAGACCACGTCCAACCGTATCTTGAGAACAGGGTCCGTAGGATTACTGGCATGGTAGCACCTCCAGCTGATGATCCGCCCATACAAATGCCTGATGCTAGAGCGCGTCGTCGGTGGAACCAGTGGCTCAGGACTGAAATTGAGACTGTTGAGACAATGGCTGAAGCGATCCCTCCGAGGATGGAAAGGCACAGAATGAAGTGCCAGTATTTTGTACACTCAGCTAGTAGCATATAGGAGGTGAAGCTGGCTGCAGATCCGCATGTTAATAAGACTCGAGGACCGTATCGATCGAACAGTGGTCCGACCTGGACTCCAAGAAATAGAGTTAGAAACACAAAAATTGCGGTGATCCAGCCAACATCGCGGATGCTGTATTCGGCAAGCTGGTGCTCGCTAATGTAGTCCTGGACAGTGCCAACTGCAGTATTCATGTCAGCTGTTCGTCAATCCCACTTGTTCTAGTAACTTGGGTCTTCATGTAAATGCGGTCATGAAAAAGTTGACGTACCTGCTGCTTCAAATCCAAATGACGGAAACATCAGCAAAAAGGATCCCAAGAGGCACATCCATGCCTCTCGACCACCTTCGGGGAAGGCCTGGCTGACTCCGGGCCCATCTGCCGGTTGCTCGGTGTCATAGATGCCAGTATGAGATCTTAGTTCAAGCTCTTCGGTAAGCACGGAAGAGTCCTGCCGGGCCGACCGACGCATTTTGCATATAATTTATAAGAGTGATATTGAAACGATGCAAATGCTGCATTCTCTGAACTTGGAGGGCGCTCAGGCTTGAGCCCTTCATTATAAGAGTTGCTTGCGTGTGGGTCTCAAAACGGAAGGGGTCGTCACCGAAAGGGCGTGAAGTACATAACTCGGTTCCGATAATGAAGTGACCCATACTATTAAACACCCACACCAGTACCGACATAATCAGGTTTTGCCCTGCTTATGAAAACCGGAAGAACAAGGGTGATACTTCGTAGCACAGCAATAATATACAACTCGCTTGTCCTGATTACAGACAGTGACGAGACGGAGGGGCCGAGAGTCTTCGGATTTTGCTGCCGAAACAATAGCGTTACCAGAGGCAACGTAATATTACATCTATGTATGAGGGATCGGCGCGTCACTTCCCCTGAACACCCTTGCAAATCTCTCTCGGAATAATGAGATAGTACTTAACTGACTCGTTGACTATTTCTAGCAATAGATTCGTTAACTACATTCTGTAATTAATGCAAGCGACACTTCTTACTTTTTATGTTAACTAGTCAAGACCATATTCCCCTCAATGTTGCACTCAAGACATCTCTGCCGGCATTTACATACCGCGGCACGACGAATCCCATTAGCTTATGAACTCCATCGGCCACCTACCAGCAACGCTTCGACAAGCCATAATGCTACTCCAACCAGGCCGATTCTCTTCCTGCATGGATTTCTAGGCTCGAAGCGTGAAAATAGACATGTTAGCAGGGAAGTATTTCTGCTTTTGTTCTGTCTACGTGCGCCCTAACAATCTCAACAGACTACTCGCTAAAGATCTCTCCCGGCCTGTGTATGCTCTGGTATGTACCCTTCCTTCTCTGGGTGACCCTAATAGCGACGTACTTGGAGGAGCAATCTGAACATCTAGCCAGGATATGCGGAACCACGGGGAATCCGGTCATCATCCAAAACACGACTATATGGAGATGGCATTGGATGTAAAATACTTCATTGAAAGACACCAACTTCGATCGCCGACTGTCATTGGCCATTCCATGTATGCATCAACTGTACTCACTCAGCGCTCACTCTTTCGTACAAATTTATTATTATGTCTAACACATGGATCCTCAGGGGCGCCAAAACAGCGTTAACCCTATCTCTAGAGTCTCCGACCCTAGTCAAGGACGTAGTGGCCATCGACAATTGCCCAATCCGCCTGCCATTGGAGTCAGACTTTGCTCGGTATCTGGAAGGACTGGCAAGATTGGGAGACGAACGGATCACAGACTATTCGCAAGCTGATAGGATCTTGACTCAATTTGAAAAGGTAAGATGTTGTGCTTTGTGATTGTGTTGGTTCTGTAGCTTTCGACGATAAGGCTAAAAGAGGAATATACAGTCTCCCGCCATACGGGCTTGGCTCATTAGCAATCTACAAAAGAAGCCAGATACACCTTTCCTCCAACTACGAGTGCCCGTCGAAACCTTGAGCACAGCCATAAGACCTCTTGGCGAATTTCCTTATCTTGTAGATGAGGAGAGTGAAGCCATTAGACAATTCAATGGTCGCGTGCTCTTTCTGAGAGCTCTCCAGAGCAACTTTATCCCTGAATCAGCACTGCCGCTGATACATGCATTCTTTCCGTCTTCGGAGATCGTGGATATCGACTGCGGCCATTGGATCGTTCAGGAGAAGCCTGAGGAGTTTCGTAAAAGTGAGTTGCATACCCTTCGCTTTGTATATTGTTGGGTAGAACTGACATGGTTGCTCGGGCTATAGTTGTTGGTAGATTTCTCCTGGCGCAGGAGAATTAGCTTGGTCCATCTCCTATTTGTATATAGGTGCTTCTTTCCGGTTGTTGTCATTCAACATATGATCTCCCTCACGCTATTATGGTAAACAATTCATAGGACTACTACCTCGCACCTTTTATACTAGGTTGAATGGACGAACGAGCTGTATTTCTCGACATATCGTAACGTATATATATATATATAGCTAAAGTACTAGAATAATCCCGATAAGTTTTCAGAAGGTTGACACTTGATTGCAGGACTAGCGGCTTGAGGCTAGATCATGTTCTGGGAGTCTGTCTTGGTCCCTACCCCACCTGTCCGGTGACAATAGTAAACTAGAATTCACTATCAGATAGTATATAAAGAGTCAAGCCTGGCATGAACCAGGAAACCTGTAGTAAAGTTAGGGTGCGTCGGAATACAAAGGAGGTGTGGTTTTGGGGCACAGAGGCCTTGGCATGACACCGCAATGACCAAAGGTCAGACCTGCAGCGTCACCCACCAGAATTCACTTGCTCATCTACAGAAACAGATTCCTTCTTCTAAGTAGCCATGTTTTCATCAGTGTCGACTATGAGGAGAAATTCCACTGCTTGTTTTCTTTTCCACCGTACCGTATACTGCGCACAACAACATTCATCAATGTTTGTATCTATCCCTGGATCAAGTGTGTTTCTTCGGAGAGCGATATCATCATCACCATCGTCAATGAAATCCTCCTCGATGGGTTCTAACATCCCATCGATAACTTCAAAAATATCTCAGAATGCACAGAAGTTCCCGACTAGTGGCTTCGACATTATCCAGTCTGATCAAAAGGTGGAAGAGGAAGAGTTACCAGACTACAAAGCACACCGATTCTATCCCGTTCGACTGGGTGAAATATTCCATAACCGCTATCAAACAGTGGCAAAACTGGGCTTTGGCTCCTCATCAACTATATGGCTGTCCCGCGATTTGATGTATGTTCGAAAGACTCTAATGTTTTTTTACCATTAAACTGACTTGCATAGAAACGGCCAATATGTCGCATTGAAAGTCTATGTGCATACTTCTTCGGTTCACCGCGAACTCCCATTCTATGATCACGCGAAGCAACAGCTACAAACAAGCTCACACCAGGGACGATACAACATTCGCAAGTTATTAGATTCCTTCACTGTTTCCGGTCCAGATGGGACACATATAGTCCTTGTCTTTGAGGCCGCACAGATGAGTCTGCATGACATGGAGGTCGTGTTCCAACAGGAAGGATTCGATGAGAATCTGGTGAAAGGTGCCATTACCGAGCTTTTACAGGCGGTGGACTTTCTCCATACGCAAGGACAGGTTGTTCACACTGGTATAGTCTTCTTTCCTTCGAGCAAGCAAGCTTCTAGAAGAGTGAACTAATCATCCCCGTTGTAGATATACATCCTGGAAATCTTCTCCTCGGAGCCTATGACAACCAATCGCTGAGTGCACTGGAACACGAAGAACTTGTGTCACCAGTACCTCGCAAGCCGGTCTCTCCCACTCGGACTATCTATCTATCACGCCTGATGCGTCCTCAAGTAGGTCCAATGTTGTTGTCTGACTTTGGCGAGACACGTATCGGCCCAGGGCCCCACGGCGGTGATATTATGCCCCTGGAGTATCGGGCACCCGAGACATTGCTCTATATAGGTTGGAGTTACCCTGTCGATATCTGGAGTGTAGGTCTTACGGTATGTCACGGTTCCTCCCAGACAGCATGGCGCTTTGTGACAGCTTTTTGTGATAACTGAAATGGACTGCAGGCCTGGGATCTTCTCGAACCGAGAATTCTTTTCACAGCACGAGATGAAGACGGTAATTTATATGATGCTGCACATCTAGCACAAATTATCGCTGCACTAGGACCGCCTCCCCCCGAATTTCTAAGAAGGAACCAGAAAAGGAGAAGCGACTTTTGGGACTCTGATGGTAAGCAGTATCTACCAGCTGACAGTGCAATTAACCGGTTGTTCTTGTCCCTTTTTCTCCCTGCTGATGCCTACTATATAGGAAAGTGGCTGGGCCTTGCGCCTATACCGCACGACCGGACAATGGAACGATTAGAATCTCGACTCAGTGATAAGTCTGGTTTCCTACGGTTCATGCGAAAGACTCTTACTTGGTTGCCCGAGGAAAGAGCAACAGCAAAGGAGCTTTTACAGGATCCTTGGCTGAGAGGCTGAGCTAGCTGATAGCTACGACTATACCTATGTTATGCTTAGCTGATGACTGGGTGGACTTCGTGACGAACTCTAATAAGTATGACCAGACGAGGTCGATGCGGTGTCCCTTTCACCATTATGAGAAAGGTCCCTGTACTCAAGTTTTCAATATTTTCTAGCCAGATAGCCAACTAAAATTATGGTATGGGACCGAGAACTGTGCAGTTGTAACAACCAAACAGTGCATGCCTACTGACATCTTTAGTCTTCAATCCCTAACATGAGAACTTCCGTATCTCTAGCATCTTCTTGGTAAAACAGCATGTATGCCTTGAAGTATCATCTCCCCTCTATATTCATTTATCCCTGCCGAAATATTACCTCGGGTGGAACCGGATCTAGTATCAGGATCTCCAAAGACTTGGGACTTGATCAGGTGAGCTTTGTATTGGTGAAGTGGCTAGGGCGGGTCTGGTGAGAGAATTAGCGCCCGGCCTGGATCGAAGGAAGGTGGAGAGGCCTCCACCGTCAGATCCCCCCATATATAGGAGTCTCTGTACCGGAGAGTCTTTTGACTCCTCCTACACAACTTCATCCTCTTCGTCCAGAAACAAATAATTATCTTATTCACTCTCTCAACCACATCTAGTGCCTACCAGTAAGTTGGATATAATCATCGAGGTCAATAACATCCCCCGAGCAGCAGGTTAACTCGGAACAAATCCAATTTAATAACATCCCACAGCATGACAGACAACACATCACTGACGCGGGATTGTTTATAGATGACAACATGACGCTAGAAAAGCAAGACAATTCCAGACCTCGCTCGCGACCGGTCAGCAGAACGAGACGGTTTTTCGAGACAATGGCCATTACATCAGTGACCTCCATAATCGTCGGTACTTTAGAAGATATCTTTCTTGCGCCGGTGGATCCTCGCTCATGGCTTCATCTGATATTGTATATCTCTTGTTACACGATTTCCAATTTTCTGTATGAGAGGCTTAGGCCTGTCTAGATGTATATATATGAAATGTCAGAGTATCTCCAGTACTCATTAACGACACGGTCAATTGCCTACGCATAACGCATGAGCAATGGAGTTGTACCCATGTGCCTAAGGCTTCCGATGAGGGGCTTTCGGAGTCCTAATTCTTGTTTACCGCAGACGTCCAGCATTGGCTTGGAGGAGCTGGTCAGATTGGGCTGACCCAATGTGATGTCTCGGATGTCTGGCTCCGATGTTACATTTGGATTGATCTGCATTCTAGGGCGACGCTAATATCAGCACCATCTCCACATGTCGGACCTCCATACCTTCGTTCATTGGACTGTTGATTCGCCGGTGCAATCCGAAATCCTTGATATAAGGAAAAAATCGCGCAATATAGTGCGGTTTGGTGTCCCTTCAGAAGCATTATCCTGAATCGTGAATTCTGTATCATATCATTTGCAGATACTCTCTGCCATCCCTAGCCGCGATGAAGATGTCTCAAGGGGCCAAGTCTGCATACGCTATTCATTCGTTTCTTCTGCTGCTAGGGTAGCAAAGGGATGTCTCTGTGCTCTGTAACCGAGGTACTCAACCATTGAAATTGGCTTTCCGGACCTGCATATTGCTTGTTCGGAGTATGATTTCCTGCTTTTTCATTAAGACGCCGGTGTGATGGTTGAATAGAGCTTGTCCTCTTAGGATATTATATGCCGCTGGGGACATTAGCGTACCCACTGATAATCGATTCACCCCATCCCTATGGCCATCTTCAATTTCGTAACCTGCAGGCCGAGCTAACTAAATACGGCATGTTGTATAGTACCTTGTCACTCGATGCTTCATTGTTCACCACAGACGATGAGGAGCTGCGAGGTTTTATAATTGCTGCAGCAGCGAAAATAAATTCTTCCTTGGTCATTCTCCCGCTGTCCAGGAGAGTTTTGTTTTCCTCGATCTGCTCCAGGTCTTCATCATACTTATCTAACTCTCCCACCTTTCGCAATGCGAAAGCCTCCAGTTCTTCTGCACAGTCAAATTCTTTCTCTCGCTTGGCCCAGCCATCGGCTCCAAAATGCTGTCGAAGCTTCGTAAAAGGAAAGCTGCGGTGATCGTTGAAGCCGGATGAGAGGAGTATGTGGAGCCACATGGCTCCCGATTCTTGCGACCACTTGACGAGGCTAAAAAGCTCTTTCTCTTTGTGGCCTGGAGTCCTGGCCTCTTCCTCCTCTAAAATCTGGGTGAACTGATCTAAATACTTGAAGTACCTTGCAGCGATCTCGGGTGGCTCTTCGCCATTATAGTCCCAGGCGCTATTAACAGGCCTGTCCTGGAGAAGCCACCAGGGTGCCGAGCCAAACAGCTGCGCGGGTCCTATATAGGACCACTCGAGGTCTACTACTCCAACGACAGTGAGATCATCCTTGCTGCGGACGATCAGATTGGCAAGGCCGAGGTCGTCGCAAATCAACTTGAAATTGCCATGGTTATATTTCGGATGGATCAAGTCTGGCACAAGGGATCTTAGTGCCTTAAAAGCCACATACTTGTTTTGAGCATCGTATTCGCCACAGACTGAATTTGGTTGGTGTACAAGCTGTTCCCAGTCCTGACCGACAACATACTGGAAGTATTCGGTTGTCGTCGCAAACCCCTTGGTTCGGTCACCTGGGAATCACTGATTAATCAATTTAGCATGGCCTCAAATGGATCAAGGTGTATGTACCGAATGTATTCACTCCCCCATTCTGTAGGATGCTGTGTACCTTGAATGTTAGCGGCCGTGACAGGGAAGTAAAGCGATGAGCTTCAGTCAGTGGTGGCGGTGGCAGACTGCCGATCTGTTCAAAATCGAGTCTGAATAGCTGAAGCAGGAATCCTGCCATCTGTCTATAGATAATTTCGACATCATGGTCACTGATGTCCTCCCTCATAAGTCGGCTGGGGCGTTCGGCATTATGATCTTGGAGAAGATCACCGAGGCTCACCCCGTCAATAAAATCCATTATGATAAACGGACCGAGACCAAGTGGGTTGGTGGCAGCGGGACCCCACGCGCGGACTCTCGGGACGGGGATGGCAGTCCTCTCGCGGATGAGGCGCAGGGCCGTCACCTCCATCGCCACCTTCTCATCGGTGTAGCCATCGCATATTTTCCCCGCGCGAGGGAAACGTACCATCCAGACAGTGCGGTCACTGAAGACCATTTTCATCCCGGCATTGAATGCGCCATGGTGGAATGAACCCTCAAGTTCACAGGGAAGTTTGTCGGGATGGAATGTAGACACCCACGGGCAGAGACGGCCCAACCTGTGAGTCTCGTTCACCTTATCGACCCAAATCTGTCCCTGCACCTCATGGACAAGGTCGACAAGTGCGTTCGTGTCCATTACATGAGTGTGGGCTTCAATGGAAGAGTGAGAGATACGGGTATGGTGAGGAAGCCGATTGAGAGGCGCGAGGTGGACAAAGTAAGGGGGACTTTGGTCCGTTTCGTGGTCGGGCAGCACGAGGTTCTGTGCCTCAGGCGTCTCCGAGGCAGCTTCTCCATCAAACGCATATACTAGTACTACTCAGCAAAGTGCTGCAATTAAAGTATACTTCAGTCAATCTTCAAGATGACCGATTGAGGAAAGGCACACTTGCTTCTTGAGACTGGCCTGGTCATAGATTCCAGAAGACCTAGGTTCTAGTCGATTACTAATTGCATCTACAACTGAATAGTTAGAGATGAAATCATATAGCTCAACATAGCTTACTCCATAGTATATTGCTGAGCGCTTCTCCAAGAGAGCATTTAACCCGAAAGTAGAGAGAGTAACACTTGGATCGAAGCATTGTTGTATGTGCAATTGCAGGCAGTTTTGAGCAGGACAGATCACATTAAGAATGGACCATTGCTTACTTGCTTCCCCACACCAGGATGACCATAACAAGCCCCGCAGGTGAAAGACAGGGTCCAAGCGTCAAGCACAACATACTAATTAAGGTGCACCAGATGGCATTCGGTCATCTTCACCTGTTGCTATGCTTTGCCACTACAAGCATACGTGACCCTAGTGTTGGAGCTCATGGTCGGAGTACTTAGCACGAGGATAAAGCATCAAGGTAAAATATCTGCATAGTCAAGAAATGGGAGGTGAGCAACTTAGTACTAATACTCTATGTCTAATTCAATTCTATTTGTACCAGAACTAGTAGTAAATAGTAATGTCCTTCAAACCATGAAAGCTCACGGGTTGTCGATATGATGATGTTGTGTGGATTCAGCACATCAATTTAGCCCTCCTGGTGGCTTGTATATATAATACGAGCAAGGTTGAACAATAACTCGGACTTAAGACTGGCAATTGAAAATGTACCTTGCCTTGCCGACAAACACGCCCTCGGGCTATTGATATAATTATGTCCGAGTGATGCTCAACTATGGTTCCTTAAAGGCGAACAGCCCAAGCCACCTTCTAAACCCTTACCCGACCCAAGCTCAGCTTCCCATAGTCCACCGTTCGGTAATCCGAAGCTGGCTCACCTCAGAACTCTCGGCGTAGGTTGCTTATTCCAGAGGATATATCCGACAAACCCGACCGGCAGGATAATATCCGACAGAATACTCCGAGGAACGGAAGGGAAGATTTCAGAATAAGATTTATTTTAAGATACAATTATATGATGGTTTAAGGTCTGACATTTCTCACTTCACCACTTTATATCTGTAGAATAAGATACGGAATAAATAATGTTAGTGCTTATAAACGGTCTATCTTGATTACAACTCTCCAGAGAACAGACAAGACGGGAGTCTAGTACTACGTAACTCCTCGCTTCTAGGCAACCGTATTCGGTAAGGCTGATTTGATTGATTTGACTTGCAAACCAGATCCACAATCTGCCGAACACCAAGCCTTTTTCACTTCCCGGTTGCCACTGCCACTGCCAGTCGGAATTGCTATCGGAGATGCTTTCTCGATAACAAACTCCCTCTCACATGTGCTGCTGCTGTCTTACCCCCGAGCTTTCTTGCCCATCTGTCTAGTTACTAAATCACCATTGGCTGCCCATCCCACTCTCACACACACCCCCCTCGCAGCAAGTAGCAGCATTCCTTAACAGCATCTTAACCGCCGTGTGTGTGTGTGACTCGTCATCCACCCTACCACTCAACTCACTGAGCTAACTAACCCAAAAACCCACCGCTAGTCGCTGCCTCTGTTGGCTGACGCGGCCCCTTACTGCGGGACTCTCTATATTATCGCCTCCTATCTATCTACCTATCTACGTAGTTTATCCTGATTCAGCCCCATCACCGGTGCCTAATATTATCTTTGCGATGGAGCCATGAGTATAAAATCTGCCCGCACCCCCTGATAAGATAAAAACTGTTTTTTTTTTTTTTCTGCTTCTTGGCTCCGGTTTCGCTTTCCATCTACACCAATACCAAACACCTACCTCTGTATACAACATGGGTGTTAAGCCCCTCCTGCTATCGTCCCTTTTATGGGCCGCTAGCACCACCACCGCCACAGCAGCATCACCATCAACAACACAAAATGCCAACCACATCTTCAACTCCATCCACTCCTCTATGCGACAATGGGGCTCCTCCCTCCAACACAACGGCATGTCATTATTCCTCGCCAGCGTTCCCGCCGGCACGCAGTTCTACCACGGTACCTCGATCCCCGACCCCATCAACGGCACGGAGTGGCTTGCCTTCGAGCCGGAACATGCGATGGTGTTCGCGAGGGCGCATATGGGACCCCATCCGGGTGATGAAGACGATGATAAGAAGAGGAAGGAGTTGAGGAAGCGCGATGAAGAAACGGAAGAGGAGAAAAGTTCTGGCTGGTTACATACCTATGTCGCTGCTAAGGACCTGCGACTACTTTACGCCGATGGCATGTCAGCTGGAAAGACACACAACGGGACGCTTGATTTCGAGGATCGGGTCCTGTTCCGGGATGAAGTAGGCGAAAAAGAGATGATGGGGGATCGCGAACGCGCGAACATGTTCTGTCGCATGGCGAAAGAGGAATGGGATGATCGGGTGGATGGGATGTTGCGCATGGAGGCTGGGTTTGAGATCATTCTGTGTGATTTTGCTAGGGACTTGAAGGAGGTCAGGGTGACGCGGACGAAGCCGAGTTACCCGTTTGGGGGACCCGGCGGTGGTGGAAAGGATGACAACAAGAAGAAGGGGGGTCCTGGAGGTGGAGCATTGTGGCTCAAGGCGATTGCTGCGCGGTATGATGGGATTGGAGGTAACCGGGTGACACTGAACTATGACAACTTTGTGTCGGCGTATACGTATGGACTGGACCTGTTTCATTCGGTCAATGAGACGTTCACATTGCCCCGGTTGACGCAGTTTACGTCACAGCAGCTGGGCCCTATCAGGGAAGCGCTGAATGAGCTGGTGCTGCAACATGAGGCCAAGGAGGCAACATTCAACTGGCAGACTGTCACGGACATGGTGGTGGAGCGGTACGCGCATGACATCCGCTATTTTGCATCGGGCCAGCTGTCCACGGTGGAGGATATCCACGCGAAGATTGAGAAGGTGCTGGGTCCGTTTGTTGACTACGGGGATCGCGATGGAGAAGAAGAGGCTGAGCGCTGCTCCATGCAGTTCATTCCGGGCGGGGCGTTCGGTGCTGATGGTGATGCTGGGGTGGCGGCGACGGCTGTGCATGCAGTCACTCGTAGGATATGTGAGACGATGGTCCAGGGCTGGCAGGAGACGGACTACAACACGCTGATTGGGCTTTTCCAGGATCTGATGGAGTACCTGGCCTGGACAACGTGGAAGCAATGCAGCGGATGCGCCGACCACGAGATCTGCGTGGTGCCCATCTGGCCGATGGGAACTGTAGAAGACTACAATCATCCGCAGTGTCGCGATGCAACGAAGCCCGAAAGCGAAGGTCAGAGCTATTGGGGTGGCCGGCCTGGTGGCCCTGGAGGTCATCATCCTCCGCCTTCTGATTCTTCGTCGTCGGCCGGATGGATTCCGAGCTTAGTCTCGTTCCTGCGATCATTCCTGGGAGTCGCTCTGGGATTGCATTTCTAATGTGGGACAAAGAGGGATAAGAATTTTCCACGCTTATTATTTTTTTATTTTCGCATACCTTCATCTAATTTGAACTTGATTTGACATCTTACATATGAACTTGAATTTCGGGCAGAGGAAACTCCGCTCAGGGGTGTGCCCTGCAAAACCAACATTTTTGCCTTAGCAAATAGAAACTGCGTGCAAGAAGAAAAAGAAGCGGAACAGAAAAAGGGTCAAAAAAAAGCAACGATGACCTACCGAACCTGGTTTTCGGAGGATCGGAAATTGACAATTAAGCTGCCCGAAGAACAGTAGAACGGAAGTTAATTCGTTGCTCGTGCGCGGTTGAAGCTGCTCGAGGCGCCACTTCGATAGTTTGCTGCACGCTTGCATTAAGCGCCTTGTCGATCCCTTCGGTCCAGACACAAACACTTTTGCTTGTCACTCTCGCCCTCTCGACCACGTCCTGATTTTTTGGTACTTTGGGTCGTTAATCACAATTTGTACTCTGAGTATGGTGACTGCTCTATGGTCGGGTTTCAGCTGCGGCGTCCACTATACAGCCACAATGAAGGTAGTCTTGCTAGCTGAAGGCGAAAAGACCGGGTTAGCCATGTCTTGTAGGCCAGGATAGGGTATGTTCACAATAGTAGGGTAGGATAGGCATCAACCTCACATCAACACCACCAACCGAGGTAATAATGCACACATGCTTCACTCTTTGCCCCCCCCCTTCTCCCATTATGGTAACAGTTGCCTTATGCCTCCCTCCCCCCTCCCCTGAAACTTGTTTGCTACAACGATGCTAAACAACATAGTTTTTTGATGGTGCTCCTGCCACCGGCACTTACGGATGCAGCCCGATTGCATTGCGTGCACGACACGACTCGAGTCTAGCCTATCTAGCCAGGACGATCCAAAAATTAGGGTCCCACTATCAACTCGATGGGTCTGGCAGCCCAGTGGATCCCCATTCCTTGACATTCACGGATCACGTACAAGTGCCGTCTACACTTGTCGATCCTCCGGATCATACACTGTCAGGTACCACTGAGCTTGCAGCCGGTGAGCCACCAAAGACAATAATCTTGGATAATGCGAGCTTGGCACAAGGAACACGGGGGGTGGAGAGGGGCGATAATGGTGTAATCTGTAATCTCAGTTCGTGGGGAATGCGAGCGAAAAGGAGAAATCGCCTCACGTTGAGCCGTGAGTGTAGATACTCATCACTCGCATATAAATATGCCCTACTGCTGCTCTCTCCATCCCTCTCTTTTCTCGCAGGTCAAGCAAGTCTCTCTTTAATCTTAATCCTAATCCCTCCGCCTTCTCCCTTCACTCTTTCCTCTTTTGCTTCCCTCGCTTCACGACCACCGCTCCTTTTGTTGTCGTTTAGTTCCATTCCTTCGCTTGTTTTTCAATATGAAGGCTTCGATCCTAACGGCCCTCACTTTGGCCGCCTGCTCCTTCGCGAGCCCCGTCGGCCAGCTACATGCTCGCGACGGCGAATGTACCTGCCAGCCTAATGGCGGTTCGAGCTCTGGCTCTGGCTCTGGACCTTACCCCGGCTCCGGCTCCGGCTCTGCTCCAGGATCGGGTTCTTACCCCGGCTCTGGCTCTGGCCCTGCCCCCGGTGCTGGCTCCTATCCTGGCTCGGGATCGGGTTCTGGCTCAGGTCCTGCTCCTGGCTCTGGCTCTGGCTCCTACCCTGGCTCTGGCTCTGGAGCTGCTCCAAGCACTGGCTCCGGTTCCTACCCTGGCTCGGGATCCGGCTCTGCTCCTGGATCTGGGTCTTACCCCGGCTCCGGTTCTGGGTCTTACCCCGGCTCCGGTTCTGGGTCTTACCCCGGCTCAGGCGCTGCTCCTAGCTCTGGCGCTGGTCCTGCTCCTGGAACTGGCTCCGGCTCTGCGCCCGGCACCGGTTCTGGCTCCTATCCCGGTCCAGGCTCAGGCTCTTACCCTGGCTCTGGCTCTGGCTCGGGACCTCAACCCTCCGAGGTGTCGACCTACCCTGCCTCCCAGGTTCCAACGCTGCCTGGCTACCAGCCCCAGCCTACGATTACATTGACAACGACCGTTCCCGTCACTGCCTCCCCGGGCTCCCCGGAGTGCACTACAACTGCTCCTGCTGCTCCCGCTGGCCAGCCGACTGGCCAACCCGCTGGCCCCGGTGCTCCTACCGGCCCTGCTGGCCAATCCCCTAGCCCTGCCGCTCCAGCTGGTCCTACCGGTCCTGCTGGACAACCTGCTGGACCTTCTACACCTGCTGCTCAACCCTCTGGCCCCGCCGGCCCTAGTGGCCCTGCCGGTCCTGCTGGCTCCTCTGGACCGGCCAACTCTGGCTACCCTGGCAGCCCTAGCCCTTCATCTCCTTGGGGTACTCCCAGCTCTTCGGTCCCCGCTGGATCTCCCTCGCAGACCCCCGGCTGTGAAAACGGCCACTGCCACGGTACCGGCCACCTCCTCCAGGATCTGGGCGTTCAGGCTGATCACCTTCTGACCGTTGTTGGTGATGGCACTGAACAACTGCTTGTCCAGCTCAGCCAGCCCGTTGCGGACCTTCTTTCCAGCCTGGGCCTGACCGGCCTTGCTAAGCCCGTGGGCAAGATCATCAAGGACGCCGGCAGCATTGGCGAGCTGGTTAAGGATCTGGGTGCCCCCGTCGAGCAGCTTCTGGTCGTCACCGGCAAGGACACTGGCTACCTTTTGATTCAACTGGACCAGGACGTTAAGGGCCTTTTCGACAGCATTGGCCTGAACGCATTGGGCGAGCCCGTTGGTGACCTGCTGGGTGCCGTTGGCAGCAGCCTGAAGCGTCGTCAGAACTGGGACTACAACCCTTACGCCAAAAACCCCAACGGGCTCGTTGAGAAACTGGCACCGGTGATTGACTGCATCTTGGTGGTTACCGGCGAGGACGCCAAGGACCTTATCATCAAGCTCAGCAAGCCCGTGGCCGAGGTGTTTAAGGCACTGGGATTGACTGGCCTTGGCAACAGCGTAGGCAAGGTCGTCAAGACGGTCGGCAAAGATGCGGGAGACTTGGTTTCGGATTTGGGTCAGCCCACCGAAAAGTTGCTCACGGTGGTTGGCGATGGTGGCAGCAAGCTGGTGATCCAGTTGGGTCCTGACGTTGCAAACTTGGTTGGGGACTTGGGACTCCCCAAGGTTGGTGAGGCAGTGGGTGAGGTTCTTGGAGCAGTGGGTAAGAACGTGTAAGAAGTCTCGACTATTCTTTCTCTTTCTATTTTTCCTTGGTCCTATGAACGGGTGATGGAATTGCATTGCATTGCATTTATTTGGATGCGATGGTGTTGAGGCTACTTACTAGTACCATATACTATACAAGATGTAATTAGTGTAATTGATAATGATACCTAATCAAGAATATTTTCAGTTGACTTCAATACTACTACTACTACTACTACTACTACTACTACTACTACTACTATCCAATATTACCTCCCACATTACTATCCATCCACACATCATAGTACATCCCCCAGTATTCTCTTATCCCCCATCCATTCATCCGCCGATTCCACTCCGAGGCAACCCTACTTTTCCCCTCTCTCCAAAAGCGTACGTAAGCCGCATTCCACAGCCTCTCATTGCCTTTGCCTTGCCCCGGATGTAAATTGATTCGCCCCACGGGGTTTGACTGCCGATGTGGAGAAGCGAGCCGCCAGACTTGGCAAAGGCAAACCGTCATCCAACTGGAGAGTACTTGACATAATGTGTGAGTGAGTGGTGTGTGAGAGGGAGACTTTCCGGGGGGAAAGCACAGAGTTTCGCCTCCCGCTTCGTTCCCTCCAGCAATGAAATCATGGATGATTGTGGGACGTGGGGAGGCCATTCCCCCCCGCGGGTAAGATTATTCCCGCCGTGCCATTTCCGATTGCCGGTCAGAGTTCTCTATTTAATCCTCCAGTTCTCTCTACTTTTTCTTGCTCTGTTCAGCTTCAAAGTTCTTTCATTTTGTTTCTCATAGACACCTCTCCTCTCTGATTCTCCTTTCTTTACATACCATACTATCATCATGGCGCAAACTCCGCAAGACCTTAAGATTGCCATTCTGGGTGCAGGTATGTACATCCTTTTTTTCTGCCGCCCTATAATAGGGTTTAGTATAGGAAGTATGACGAGATACTAACAGGAGTGTTGTTGTATAGGCATGGGCGGTCTGACCTGCGCCTTGGCTCTGGCTAAGGAAGGCTTCAAGAACATCGACGTTTATGAGAATGCACACGATCTGGGCTTCGTTGGAGCTGGTATCCAACTGGCCCCGAACATGGCCCGCGTGCTGGATCGCCTGGGTGTCTGGAAGCCCATTGAGGCCGAGGCTGTTAACATTACTTCCACTAGCGTTAGAGGTATGTGTTGCATTTCCCCCCCAAGGATGAAAGATCGACAGTCCTTTCTATGTGAAACCTTGAGCTCAACGCTAATTCAACCGAACAGTCGGTGCCTCGGACTCGGAGTTGGCCCACGTCCCACTGGAATACATCCACGACACCTACGGATATCCCCACATGGTTGGCCACCGGTCTTCCCTCGCCGGCCACCTGTACCAAGGTTGCCTGCAGCACCCGGACCAGATCCGCTTCCACTTTGCCACTACCGCCAGCGACACCACTTTCGGTCCTAAGTCCTCCTTCACCGCTACCCCCCGCGACCACCCCGAGCAGGCCTACCGCGTTGAGGCCGATGTCCTCCTCGCCTGTGATGGCATCAAGTCCCAGTCCCGCGTGGCCATGCTCGACCTCCTCGGCATCAAGGCCGGCGTCAAGGACACCCACCAGGCCGCCTACCGTATCATGATCCACAAGGACCAGATCAAGGACGACCCCGAGCTCCTGGAGCTCATGAACGGCAACCGCGTGACTCGCTGGATCGGCGAGAAGCGTCATATTATTGCCTACCCCGTCTCTAACAACACCATCTACAACCTTTCCACCACCCAACCTGACACCCACTTCGCCGCCGCCACCAATGCCACCTATACCACCCGCGGTGACAAGTCCGTCATGCTGGGTGTCTTCGGCGACTTCTGCCCCATGGTCCAGCGTATGCTGAACTACGTCCCCGAGGGTGAAGTCTGCGAGTGGAAGCTGCGTGTCCACGAGCCCCTCCCCACCTGGGTGCACGAGACCGTCGCCCTTGTCGGCGATGCCTGCCACCCTACCCTGCCCCATCTCGCACAGGGTGCCGCCCAGGCCATCGAGGACGGTGGTGTCATCGGTGCTGTCCTCTCCAAGCTCCCCGATACTACCCCGGCTTCCATCCACAAGGCCCTCAAGGTCTACGAGAAGGTGCGCAAGGACCGTGCTTACGCTATCGTCGAGCTGGCTGCCGCTTCCGGCCGTGCTCTCCACCTGGGTGACGGTGCCGCCAAGGAGGAGCGTGATCGCCAGTTCGCTGCTCTCCGCCAGGGTAAGGGCCCTGTGCCCGACAAGTGGGCGGATGCCGATGTGCAGAAGGAGCTGTATGGTGTTGATGCGACTAAGATCGCGCTGGAGCAGTTCGACGAGCTCTTTGCTTCTGTGTAAGCTTTGGCCTTATACCTTTTCCTTATTTCTTTTCTGTTTTCTTGTCGCCTTCACGATTGAACCCGATGTATATTGTATATAGAGCTGATTGGTTGTATTGATGATTGAAGGTCGGGTCGTGAGGCGAAGCTGGCTTGATCGATTATTTGGAGGAATTGATTGGTTGGCCGGAATTAGTGTTCTTTTATCTAGCATTGCAGCCCCTTGCATATACAATGATGATGTTATGAATTGATTGTTACACTATTTTTTTCTTTGTTCGTAGTATACTATCCCTGTTCATGCATGTATCCATTGGATGAATGTATACACCCGTAGTTGTACAAAGACGGAAGTGGCTGGCTGCAGAATTAGTCTGGTTTGTTTGTTAGTCATGGCCTGGATTTACCCCGGATTTTCAGCCCCTCCTTTTGGTTTGATTTTCAGACCAAAATCAGAACAAACCCGAGGGGTTGGACCCCTTGGTCCTTGCACTCCGGCCAGGCAACAATAATGATTCAGATTTACCCCTCGAGTTCGTGTGGTAGCTACGATAATGCCACCGCTGCATTGTACCCACGAGGTCAATATCTGGGGTTTACATTCCTCCCCTTCTCCACCACTGTGGGGATGCTTATTTCGAAAGAATTCTATGTCAGTGAGCAACTGGGCATAAGTAGTTATGAGATTCATTATGCAAAGAAATTAGAGCGTAAACTTTGGTACCTGACAATGTCTGAATCGGGGTTTGGACCAAACCCGCGGGATTAGCTAGGATCCATTTCTGCCTTGATTGATAGGTCCAAAGATTAGGTACCGGACAAAAGGGTCTCGACCCAAATTTTAAGGAGGAAAAATTCTACACTAGTGACGTTATCGCATATTAGTGGTTTTACTTAGATCAAGATATATCTGCGGAACAAAGTCTGTTGTAATGAATTCAATGTAGTTGTGGCATAGCAAGCTTGTGTACAAACCTCGGCGGCAGAAGTATCCTGGGCAATAAACTATGGTTAAACTTCTTATCAGATGTTGCTGACAGTGGCAAATCGAAGAATCCAGAACAATTCGAATTGAAAATAACAGCAAATCACTGCTCGGGGAGACTTCCGGCTTGGCGCGCCGAGCTGAATCAGCCAGTGACGGAATGGCTATTGCCGCATCGGGCAACTAGCAGGGCTCCTAGTTGCCTTCCTTCTTCCTGCGGCGCTTCTTTTTCTGATTCTTTTCCCTCTCTTCTTCTGTCTGCTCGTCCCCTGCTCGTTCTCCCTCTCCAACCAGCTCAGTTGGATATGCAGGGTTCTTCTGATGCCAGCAGCGCGTCTGACGACCTCTCACCATCCCAGCCTACTCTCGATTCCGCCCCGTCCGCCAACCGTAACTTGAAGATTGCCATCCCTCGGCTGGCGCCGCCTTCCGTCAAGGCCAACCAGCAACGGACGCCACGCGCCTGTGTCGCCTGTCGCGCCAGAAAGACCAAGTGTGATGGTCGCAAACCCGTTTGTCGCCAATGTCGTCGTCTGGATCTCGTCTGCAATTATGCCGGTTCTAAGCGCGAGCGACAACAATTGGAGCTCGAATCCGTTCGCAACAAGGTCGTCGCCTACGAATCGCTTCTGAGCGACATCATTACCGACACGCAGCGGACGGGGGCTTCTTCCATTGAGGACATTCTTAATGTGCGTAGTGCCTGCGAGGTTGCCACTTCGCCTCTCCAGAATACTCAGAACATTGCCATACTGACCGGTTGCCACCTCTTCGCAGAGACACTTCCAAGCATCTCCAGATGTCTTTGCGGCGCTGCTAGCTGCCAGATCTATATCGGATCCTCAACTCTCACCGCGGCCAAAACCGGGGATTTCTTTAAACCGCATGCACATAACATTGGCCACTAAACCAAACAGCACTTCTCATCCTCTCACTGAGACCCCTCTAATACAGGTCAGCAACATCCAATCCTGGACCGACCTTGTCGATAACACCACAGCCAGCCACCTTCTCAGCCTCTTCTTTGCTTGGGAGAACCCAACATGGCGTCTAGTCGACCAGGAGATGTTCATCCGCGACCTGGAGAGCGGGAGTAAGCGGTTTTGCTCGTCGCTACTCGTCCACACGCTCTTATTTTTCGGCTGTGTAAACGCCACTGCAGTCTGATGTCGAGTACTGAACGTCAACCACTAACGTTTCTTGATAGAGCTCTTCCTACCACTTGGGGCGCATCACTGATCGGCGGGAGGAGAAGGCTTTGGGCAAGAAGTTGTACTCTGCCCTGCAGCATCTGTGGCAGTCAGAAAAGGATGATGCTGGCCTTCCCACGGCCCAGTCCAGCATCATGATCGGCCTGCTCTGTTGCACCTTTGGCATTGACCGCTTGGGGACCCGCTACATCATGCATGGCGCCCAGCTCAGTCGGCAGCTGGGCCTTCACCGCGAGTCGGCCCCTTACTTTGCTACTGATGTGGAGGCCGAGGTCGACTCGTTATCCCGGTGTCATAAGTTCGTTGCTTGTGGCGTTTTCGATGTGCAGGCGTAAGTGGCGACCCTCCATGTACGCTCGGACCCTGACTGATGAGACACAACAGACTCGCGGCACAAGTTTATCGAAAGACACCGGTTTGGGATGAACCGCCTGCTGCGAGCTTCTCGCAAGAAGAGGCTGCGGTTTTGGATGAAGGCGAAGAATGGAGGCCCTACCCTTTTCAAACCCCGGTTTTTCGACCCTTTAATCACACGGCCCTGTGCTTCCGCAACAAACTGGTCGCAATTGTCAACGAGACCGCCAGGTTTGCGCTCAGGTTTCCGGACGTCAAGCTTACCCAAGACGATTGGGAGTACGGCCGTCAGACCTATCTGAGACTACAGGAGTGGCGGGCAAGCTTACCATCCGTCCTTTTGCCTGATGAAAATCCTGCGCCGAATATTCTTACACTTCAGTGAGTTAGAGCATAGATTGTCGCTCGGTGCCTTACTAACGACCGACTGCAGCATGTACTATCAGGCGACGGTCGTGGCGTTGTGCCAAATCTTCAGTTTAAATGCCGACCCGACAAGCAACTATCCTCATTATCCAGATTTTGACACAGAATCGATCAAGTTACAATCCCTGGATACACTTGGATCCCTCGTTCTCTTGTTCCAAGCATCCCACGGACTCAAATCTGTTCCCATCGTGATGCTACATTACTTCCTCGTGGGCGGCATGCATGCCATCTCTCAATTACGACCTATGGACTTCAAGTGGAGCTTTGTCCTAGAGGCTTGCGTGGTCGGGCTGTGGCACCTGAGCCTGGGATGGGGGCGCATGTGTACGGCATTTTTGCGGACGATTGAGCTTATCTTGGAAGCTACCAAACCGGACCCAACGCTGGTGCCGCCCAAGGTGACCGCTGTTCTGCGGCTTTTGAAGAGCAATCTCTGGACGGCAACCGATGTTACTTCTCTGTCCGCCGACTATGTGGTGCATCATGTGCCGGCTGCTGCAGGACACTCCGGGCCGCAGTTTCGGGCCGCAGGGCTAGAACAGTTGATCCGTTCTATGGACGATTTCGCCATCAGCTAATGGGCGGTGAGGATGGGATTCTGCCGATTCCTGAATCATTCAAACGTTCTCCGTATACGATCGTCGGAACTAAACCGTATTGGGCAAGCTCTGCGACGCATGTCTACAATCAAGTTAGGGCCTACCTCTCGGCCTGCTTGCGTCAACCCTCCGCTGGACATCAGTTGGCGACAAACAGAGGCTGCCACCGCCGCTGTCCGACAACAACCCACACAGTCATCCGCGCCGATGCAAAGCAATCCCGCCGTCAGTGACGGTAGATCATGTATCCGTCGCTGGGTGGTACATCTGCGAGAATTGGGCAATTGGACTAGCGCTACTTTATGAATAGTGATGGACAGGTATATGGTACATGTGTATACCTTGGTAATAGATGCACCAAAAGTCCTTTCACTTTGTGATTACCTTTCGGGTCATATACCAGTTGATAATATGCTGTTTGATAATGAACACTCGAACTCATGCATACAAAAGCACATAGTTAGGATTTAGTTATGTACTTTGACAATCTAAATCAAACCATAACACCACCCAAGCTTCTGATGCCCGTAACTCCTTCAAAGCAACTAACAACCCAACCATTAATCATCACATATACTGTCCCCTCTCTCTTCCCTCAGACCAAACTTAAAAAGCTAAATACAAAACTATTCCCACTGCCCCTTCCCCAACGCCCCCAACCGATTCCTCGCATGTTTCTCCACCAATGCCTTCATATTCCCCTCTCTCCCTCCCCTCTCCTGCACTCTCAACTGCCTCTCCCGTTCCCTCTCCCTAGCAGCAGTATAATAATTCACCGCTCCACTCTTCCCCCCTCCCTTTCCAGAAGAAGAAACATTACCGGATTTACTCGTCGAAGACGACGAACCGGTACCCTTCGATGTCCTAGACGACATACTTCCAATCGAGGTAGAAGACCCCGTAGACGAAGCCGTAGTTCTCCGAACGAGTGGCGGGGGCCGCGCGAAGCCAGAAAGTTCTGCCGCGCCGGAACTGCCGGAGTGGAATGCCATTCTGTTTCCGCCGGGTGCTGTGGCTCCTGCTCCGCTGGAATTGGCGGTGGTGGTGGAGTTGGTGTTGGCTGAGTTGGAGGATGCTTGGCGGAGGAGAGCGAGGCGGTCGACGACGGGGCCGCGGGTGCGGCGCGGGTGTTGGCGTTGGGAGGCAGGGAGGGGTTGTTGTTGTTGGTGATGGTCCTTTGGTTGGGGTTCTTGGACACCGTCTTGGGCTGTGGTGATGGTGGTGGAGAGGGGATCGTCGCCGTCTTCGTCTGTGTCGTTTTCCATGTCCATGTCCATATCCATATCGTCCATGTCGATGGATGCGTCCTCGTGGAAGGAGTCGTAATCGTGTGTTTCCGTTAGGAAGGATAGAGTTTCGCGGATCTCTGCTAATGTTGCGGGTTTCTTGGACATGGCGGAGACGGGCTTTGTGCGGCGGAGGTGTGGTGGGGGACGGGGTGGGAGGGATTGGGGGTCGGATGGGTCGGTGGTGTGGTCGAGGGGGCGTTTGCGGTTGTTGGTGACGGTGTCGTTAGGTTGGGGTGTGGTGTTGTTGTTGTCTTGCGAGGATGGATCATCCGTTTGGGTGGATTCCTGCGGTTCGTCGAGGAAGTCGAATCCCACATCATCGTCGTCATCATCGCGGTCTTCGAC